TTATTTGGTACCAGGGATTGAACTTGGGACCATGTGCTTGTGAGGCAGGTGGTGGAACCACTGAGCTAAATCCCTGGCCTCATTCAAGTTCTTAAGAGGTCAGGGCCATACTATTTGATTTTTGGTCCTTAGCAAAGGACCCTTTTACAGTTTTCACAAACGCATCTCAGAATTTCTTAAAGCATTTTGATAAGCACAGCCACCTATGAAACTGACCATTCCTCACTGCTTGAAGGAGGCTGACCCTGGGTCACTGGGTGCTTCAAGCTGGGGCTCCTGACCTCACAGAGGCACAAGCCATACACGCTGCAGCTGCAGCCTACAGATGGGTAGCCCATGTGGGCCACCAGCACGCTCTACGAGGAGACTGCGCTTCCTCTACAGCTGCTGTTTTTTGCTCACCTGGAAGAGTGCCCCAAGCTCTGAGTCCAGGCTCATTTATGGGTGCAGCCCCATTACAGTTTGGGTCCTGATGTCCCCCCAAAGCCACCTGTGGTCACAGGCTGGATCTAGAGTGTGCGATGCTGGGACTGACTCCTGGTGCAGTGCTAGGCTCGAGGGCGCTAGGGTTAAGGGTGTGAGCACTGCCTGCCCTGAGCAGTCTGGGTGGGATAAAAGAGGCAGAAAGATGTGGCGAAGGCCTCTTGTTGCATTTTGCGGTCTTCCATCGCCATGAGCTGTTTCCCTTGTTGCCTTTGCTGCCTTGTGTGTGCGGTGCTGTTTCTCCTCTGAGAGGCCTCTTCGCCATCCCCAGCCTCTGAGCCGGCCGATCATGGACTGAAACCTCTATGAATGGTGAGCCAAGTAAACCCCTCCTCTCTCTCTCTGGGCATCAGGTCTTTTATCTCAGCAACGAGAGAAAAGCAATGAACACAAGCCCTGACAGGGAGCTGGACTAGCAGCCATCCAGGGGCCAGCGCTTTGGCTCGGCCCCAGAGTGACTGTAAAAGATGCCTGAGTGGGCGGCTCTGTTCCCGGATGGAAGCCCTGGGGCCCCACACTCTGCATTCATCCTCTGGAGCTGGAGTTTTTCAAAGCCGGTGCTTTGCTCATGAGGATACTGCTGGAGCTGGTTGTGAGAAGTACACTGGGCTTCTCGGGCAAAAAAAAAAAAGGAAACAGAGCGCCTGGGTCGGGTCATCATGATTTCCTAGAAGCCTCCAAGTAAATAGCCGATTCAAATCTTGGACACTTTACACTGATTGTTTTAAAATAACAGGAATTCACTTGAATACAACTTTAGCCTTTCATTCACTTACTGCCACTTCTGTTTCGTAATAGGAAAGATGCTAAAGTGACTAATATCGACTGGCGCTGTCCCTTTGTCTCATTTCATCAAACATATATTTCCATCTCTGCACCTTGGGAAATACAGTGCTCTCAAAGCTTTTGCCTTCAAGTTCCCAGTTCCACAGTTGTGCGGCCCAGTCACCACCCCCACACACAGTTCCCAGCCGCTGCCTTATTGCCACCCAGGGTGTAGACAGCCATGCGTGCTTGCTGCCTCTGGGTGACGCCAGGGATCTGCGGTCCCCTTGGTCACTCTCTAGGACCCGTGTCCGGTGGGTAGGGCCACGTGAACCCACCTTCCGGCGGAGGACAGTGACAAGGCCGCTGGGTGAGGAAGAAGCCGGCGCTGACACCAGGAGCACGCGCCGGGCACCACACACACCAGATTGCGCTGTGCTGCGAGCCAGGGGCAAGTGGAGGCAGAGGTAGATGGGAAATGCCCCTGCAGCTGGTCCTCTTCCACAGCCCACTCCGGCCTGGAAGGGGAGGCCCGGCCAGACCCGCACTTGCTCAGTGCTACATAGGAAGGTCCCTGAAGCTTGCTGTGCTCAGCCCTGCAACTGGCTCAGTTGTGCCCTGGGCCCTGGGCCACTGGGTTCTCCTCTGGCCAGCGTCTGCTACCCCAGTCCTGTGCTGGGACCCAGACTCTGCCTTCCTCCTGCAGGACGAGCAGCACAGAAGGCTCATGACAGACTCGGTTTTGGAAACGGGCCACAGGGTTCCATGTCCAGTGCTGCCCCCTGCTGGCTGTGTGACTCCAGGTAGGTTACTCCCTTCTCTGCTCTGCTGCTCACCTGAGAATCGGTGTAATGAGAGTCACCCCCATTGCGGGCTGGGGCCACCAGCCTCATACCTCACAGCAGGGGATGCTCCAAGCCGCAGCTCAGCTCTGCCCACCCACACTACCTCACCCCTCCAGTGGCGCCCACATGTGACTGGGGGTCCCCATGACGGCAGAGCCGACCTCAAGGGAACGGTGCCCCAACAGCCCTCTCCTACCTGCTTCAGTGCCATTTACACCACATGCTGCCTGGAGGTGGGGTCTGAAATCCTGAGTCCCTCAGTGTCCCCAGAGAGCAGTGCCCACCAGTTAACAGACTTATCTTCACTTGCTAGCTTCCTGCGGCTCCGGAAAAGGGACTGCAAGGAGGCCATGAGCTCTCTTGTGAGGTGAGGTACAGAGTCACAGGGTGGTGGCAGAAGTGCTCTCCTCACTGGCCAGGGACACTGTGGACAGTGGCTACCACTGACAGGGGAGCTGACCGAATCTCCAGCGTGCACGGCGCTGTCCTTCTCCCCATGGCCCAGGGTGAAGATCGCACCTCGAGAACCATGAAGATTCTAACCCATGAAGTGCAGCCACTGCTCCCAGACTCACAGAAAAAGGTTTTGTTTTGTTTTTTGGCAGTGCTGGGGATTGAGCCCAGGACCTCGCACGCGCTAGGCAAGTGCTCTGCCACTAAGCTACATCCCCAGACCTCTCACTTGAAAAAAACAAAAGCAGAGACTTTGTAAAATATATTTACTAAGAGATCCCTTCACCATTCTTGCTCCAGTTGAAGTCATCGAGAAGTGCTCTATCCAGGGACTGTTTGGAGCAGAACTTAGCTAAGTGATCCTTGGGAGGCAAAGCGTCCCTGGAGACTGGGACAGGGGACTCGGTGAGGGCAGCAGGAAGACAAAAATGTCAGGTTTGCTTCTTGCTGTGAGCACAGAGACATGGGATGCTGGCTGGGACCGGCTGCCTCGCTCGCTCTCTTCCTGTCTGTGGGGTCTGCGGAGCTGTCCTCCGCAGGGTGCAGCTAGCTGGCCATGCGCATGCAGCTGCTGGGTCCCGAGCACGGGCAGCGGGTCCTGCCCTCCAGCCCCACTCTGTACTGACAGACAGAGGTGTCACTAACCTGCAGTGCTCACCATGAACTTCCACTTGACCACATAGGCGTCTCCCTCGTGGAACTGGCCGATGCTCTGTTTCGGGAGCCTGCTGTAGTCAAACTCCAGGATGTGCCAGACGTCCACCGAGACACTAGCGATCTCGAACTGCCTCCTGTCGTCCCCTTCCACCAGACCGTAGCCGCGGCCCACATTCACCCCATCCAGGATGGTGCCGGCCACCACCTGCGGCAGCTGCACCATCTGTGTCACATCGTACGGCTTGACGTCCGCCCTCACGTCTTCCTGCGGGGACACAGGGATGTGTTCAGCTGCCTCTGATCGGCAGCTGCTTCCTATGGTGCTCGATGTGGTTTGCCCTGCCTTTCCTCCCAACCTTTCTTCCTTCTCGCCCTTGCCCTCTTTCCCTCCTTCCCTTCTTCTGAGGATGGAACCCAGGGCCTCACCCACGCCACCTGCTAGGCAAGCAGACACTGTACCCCTGAGGTGCAGCCCCAGCAGCCCTGCCTGTACATCGGGGAGCTTCCACTCTTCCTGGGGGTTGTTGACTGCCTTTAGGGGAAGACCTCTGGGGGCCACAATAGTGGATTTCAGAGTGCGATCAGAAACCCTCTTCTCTTTTATTGCTGCACCGTGGGACGGCTCTGACCACCCAGGCGCATTTTGCCGAGACCCATGCCAAGCTCCGAGTTTGAAGCCTGGTCCCCGCAATACCTTCTGCTGAGCAAAGTCCCCGCTGTTCTTCTCAGTAGGTCGCTTCAGTTCAGTCCAATCAAGAAATTTCTCCTTGAACAAAATAGTCTCATTGTGCTCTGTAAGTCTCCCAAATATTGCCCAATCAGGCCGCCCTTGTCCTTTTCTGTGGAGGGAAAGTGGATGAGAAAGGAACCCAGTTCAGGATACAAAGACAGGGCCTTTAAAACAAACACGGCAGCCGGCCCATGGTGCCCCGCTGCAGTCGCTTCCTGTTTGTTCAAGACCACGGTTTCCAACATCTCATTAGAGAGGGAACTGGGCAGATAAATCACAGAATGCAAATATTTCACCCTATGCTCAAGGGAGAGCTAAATATCAGCGACCGTGAAAATTCAACTGCCCCACGAAGTTGTCAGGAGCCATGCAGACTGCAGCGTAGTGGGTCTGCCCACCTCCTTCCGCACTGACACCTGGGCCTGGCCGGGGTTCACCGTTACATCTGGTGACTGCTGCCGCCTCCTCTGCGAGGGATGGCTGCACGCGTGATCTTGCCCACCCCTAAAAGTCCCTGGAGCGCTTGTCGGACACACTGACACCGAGTGACACTCAGAAGAGAGGCCACACACCTCCGGGGCTGGGCCTGACATGCACATTTTATTCTTTAAATTCTTCCAGGGAGTCTGGGCAGAGAAGCTGGGTACCAGAGTCAGGGGTCACTTACCTACTCCCAGATATAAACCGGCCATCATGTAGACTCTACCCTTCGCTATTATTTTACTATAGCGAATAAAATAATCTAGCTTTCCTTAGGGTCCTTAAAACCCCAGTTGTTACAGTTCTAATGTTAAATAGACATCTGCTCATGAAGAATTTAACATTTTTCACTGCATTGACATAATTTTCATTTTTAATCATTACAGAAATAAAATGATAAATTAGTAATTCCAGTTTTAAAACAAGAAATGAGGTAGGAAAGTTGGAATTTGTACACAGCTCTATGCTGTTTGGTGATATAACTATTCCAATTTATTATATGGCATAAATAGACATCATTTTTTTTTGTTCTAGTGGTTCAAAAAGCAACAATCCTTTGCAGGTAATGTTCTTTTTCCCCATGATCATATTTGTCAGAGTTAGCGCGTAGTCTCCTGATTTGCCAATTCAACTTTTAAAAGCCCAGTCTGCTGTAGAGAACATTACAATTGTCACCATTATTTCAATAGCATTTCCTCCTCCTTTGTTCTACTTCAAAAAGCATAAACATCATCCTCTGCCAAACGAACCCCGGGACTCCACTTGGGGAAGGTACGGAGTTAGAAGGAAACATGCCACGTTCCCACCTTCAGGTCAGTGGCAGAGCTCCAGATACTGGAAGCTTTTCAGGATGCAATTTGTTTAAACAATTGCTGCTCGTCTGCCACCACAGCGCCTGGACGTGGCGGGGGCGGGGGCGTCTACCATTCGCTTCCAAAAATTAAACAAGACCCAAACAGCGTCCCGAAGACTACAACTCTACATTTATTTTGTTCAGATTTGATTGATGGAAGCTAGAAAACACTCATTTTGTGAAGATTCATGGCCCATGATGTGGAATTTTTATGAAACCGAGAGCAGTAAGTACACGACTGTCTCACGGACCCAGGCCTGCGGGGACCCTGCTTACTCTGCTGCGCACTACCCGGGTTGCAGGAGTACCTGGGGATGAGTGAGTTACACTCTCCGGGATCCAGCGGGTTGATGTCGCAGTTCTCGTAGTCGAAGGTTCCATTCCATAAGTGTTTGGCCAGCTGAAATGCTATTTTTCGCTGGGCTAACGTGACTTCTTTCCCATGCCACACATAAACTTCACTGCCAAAATCAAACACCAGGACCTGGGGAGATGGCACAAAAGGCTTTGTTAGTACACAGCCTGCTCCAGTGGGCTGGGACCCCAGGGCCAGTGAGGCAGATGGGTGGCAATGCAGATCCTAGGGGGGCAGTCAGAGCAAAGGCAGGAAAGGTCACGGGAGCCCAGCCGCACCCTGGCCTTGGGTGACCCCTCCTCCTGTCCTAGTGCCCAAGTCAGAGTCTCCTCCTCTCAACGTGGAACTGCTTACTATGGTGTGAATCTTAAGGGTCCATGATTGAGTCACCATTTGGGGCCTGACTGCCAGCTGCTGGCTTCGGGAAATGATCAGATCACGAGGATCCTAATTTAAACAGTGCACTGATCCATAATTTCATGCATTCATAATTCGATGGCATCATTGGGAGGTGATGGAAACTCAGGAGGTGAGGCCTAACTGACGGGGATGGTTCGGGGGGAGGGACCTTGGGGATTTTAGCTTGTCCTCAGCCTCTTCATCTTAATCTCCAAGTCATGGAACCAGCTGGCCATGGACTGAAACCTCTGAAACCGTGAGCAGAGAAAAACCTGTCCTCTATTAAGTTGTTATTCTCAGGTATTTTGCTGCAGTGATGGAAAGCTGGCTAACACACCACTTAACTTTTGATTTATAACAGAGTTGTGTGAGTATATCTTCTTCTCTTCCTTCCTCCCTCGCTCCCTCCCTCCCTCCAAGTCTGTTCGTTCATTCATTCAACATAACACAGGTTGCTTCATACATGCCCGGTCCTGATGATGTCAGTGATTGCTTTCCTCCTGAGGACAATTCCAAGAGCTGTAAGGGCAAGGATCATATCACACTTACACTTCAACTAAGGGTTTGCTGAATGAATACATGAACATAACGCTACCCCTTATTTTCACGTCTGTGGTTTGTTCTACTTTTTATTCTTAAAATAATTTCTCCTTTTATTTTCAGCAATGCAAATTCTACTTAAATCTAAGGTAGGCTCAATTTTACTTTCTTTTAAAAATTATTCCTCTTTATTTTTTTGCCTGTGATTTTATTCCCATCTAAATGTCCTTCATATCATACACTCAATCTAGCTTTGTGTTATATGTGAATATGCTTCTACCTAGTGAAATTTAAGGCCATTTCTTATTTTACATTTTTTCCTTAACACTTAGAATACTTAATGGTATTAGAAATGTGTGTACTTGATAAATATTTACTGAGGTGAGAAAAAATCACAATTACTTGGGAAATCTTATTATACATACATGCATCTATTATTACTGAGTGTTAAGAATCAAAAATATTTTGCTTAGAAAATTCAAGAGATAGGGTTAAATAACACATTTTGCCTAAAATATAAATATCTTCAATGATCTATGCCACCTCTAAATAACACCCTGATTCCGGAATTAGTATTTCAGATGGAAGCAATAATTTGAAAGCCCATATAAATATCCCTTAAAGAGCTTCGGGGTCTGACAGCTGGCTGTCTTCACTGGACACTGAGTCCTATTTTATTGGACATCCCAGGCAGAATGCTCTAAGTGTTTTGTCTTGTTCAAGCTCTGTGATGGCTAATCTTGCCTTGCAACTGGATTGGCTTGAGAGGTCCCTGGGAGATTAGTAAAGCACACTTCTGGGTGTGTCTGGGTGGTCAGGGGCTGTGACCTAGGGACCGTACCTGGTCTGTCCCTTCCTCCTGGGCTTTTCCTTACTCACTCAGCTTCCTGGCTGCCATGAGGTGAGCAGCTTCCCTCTGCCAGGCCCTTCCACTGTGACGTTTCTGCTTCAGAGTCAAACAGCCAGGGACTGAAACCCCTGAAACTATGAGCCCAGATGCACCCTTCCTCCATGAAGCTGTTTATGTCAGGTACGCTGACCTGGCAACAGGAAAGCTGGCCAATATAAGCGCTGTACCTCTTTTGGTTGCAGAAGGGAGCACCTGGGAATTTTGCCCCAGAAGTCATCATCAGGGACAAGTTTGTCATCCATCAAGCGGTAAATGCAGTTTGTCTCTATGATGGCTGCCTCATAGAGCTCGTCTTCCTTTGGGTCACCAGCAGCTTTGGGACAAGAACAGTAGGAAAGCATCACATTGTATCTCAAAAAATAGCTGGTTTAGAAGAATGAATCAAGGGAGCAGAAGGGAAGTTCAAGTCATGTCAGTCTCTGAAACACAGTGACTCTTACATTGGTAACTGGTTTGGCCACCCAGGAGCTTCCAGAAGTCTTTGGCTGCATGAGTGTGTGTATTAATTCCTTCTTCAATGGTTTGTATGTAAGTAGCTCGACAACCAAGTTCCTTTTTTGTCTGAATTAAAGTTGCAAGTTCTGAGGCCTGAGAGAGAGAGAGAGAGAGAGAGAGAGAGAGAGAGAGAGGGAGAGAGAGAGAGGGAGGGAGATCACCTGGTTAGAAAAGCCCAGGGCTGGATGGAGTGGCATATGTCACAATCAGAAAGGAGATGTTTGAAAGGGAAATCTTATGCCTGCAGGGGCAGAGGGAACTATTGTTGGGCATACCCAATGAAGTCAGGAAAATGTGACGGAAGAACCAAGGCCCAGCACACTACTACTACTGAGCTACGTCCTCAGTCCTTCTTCATTTGTATTTTGAGACAGGATCTTGCTAAGTTACCTAGTTGGCCTCAAACTGTCTGATCCTCCTGTCTCAGCCTCCCAAACAAACTGGGATTGCAGGTGTGTGATGATGTGGCTAATTCCTTTTAGAGCGATGGTTCTCAATCTTCAGTATGAAACAGACCACCTGTAAAGCTTCTGCCCCATTCTTTGGGCTTTGGCTCATGAGATTCTCTTCCAAAAGGAGAGTGCCTGGGATAGAGAGCTTCGAAGGGGGCAGGTTCCCTATTTTTGCAGCAGCAGGTGCTCTATGAGGCTAGAGGTGCAGGTCAGAAAACTTCTAAAATCCCCTCCTCCAGCACCCCATGCCAGCCTCTCTGAGTGACACCCGGGAAAAGACTGCTGCAAGGGAGCATCGCGCATCTGGAAAGCTTTGCAAGGACCTAGAGTGGGGGCAGACATGCTCCCCGGTGTGGGGCAGACGTCAGCAGGAGCATCTCAGGTCCGACACCCACCTTCGCCTTTTCGATGACATTTGCGAACTCTCCCGCCCACAGGAAGCAGTGCTGGGGGGACAGCAGGAGGAAGCAGTCCCCGCTGTTGAGGGACGAGGCGCGCGGCTCCACCAGCCTGGTCTGCACGTGTCTTCTCCCTGAAGGTGAGGCCAAGTCACTGTCTTCCCGGATGGAACAGGGCCGGGCGGCACCGCGGCTTCACATCCCCCTACAGACGCTAAAGACCCGGTCTACTCGTTCCAGTTCCCACGCTGCTGGGTGGCACGGAAGGGCTGAGGGGTGACCTTCCTCCTGGGTCTGATCTCCTTCCCCGGGGAATCCCTGTAACTCATGGGCCGCCTCAGAAGGAATCAGCGTGGAGGGAAGCACTGACTGGTGCCTCCTCAGGTCAGGCCCTTCTCATATGAGTTGCCGATTCTGAGCTTCCCACGGTTCCACGCGCTAGGCCATGGGACGAGTTGCTGGTTACCAGTCTTCAATACATTACAAAGGGCAGTGGTCTTGCCCAGTGGAGGGTATTTCTTCCCCCCACTTCTCCGAGGTCCACCTATAGGATGGCCACTCGGAGTCAGAAAGCCCTGTCCTCCACCCTAACCGCTGCCCTTGCTTGTGCTCTGTGTCTCCCTGCTGGGCGCTAGGGTCTGCCTCCTGGTTTCCTCCCCAGGAATTTGCCCTCCTTCCCTGGCCTCACGGGCCCTTGCTGGTCTGGGCAGGGAGAGCCCGTCAGAAGGCGGGGGCCCACTCTGACCCCTCAGGCCTCCTCTGGTAGCCGAGGGCAGGTGCTAGGAACACAGACCATGCAGCCAGGGCTCAGGGCCTGGGAGCAGAGGCTGAGACAGCGGCTCCCCTCCAGCTCTGTGCGCCGTGAACAACCCCTCAGCACCTCCGTGGGCAGGATCTGCCTGCCTTGGGGACTCTGTGAGGCGCAGGCCTGAGGACGAGCACCGCACAGGTGTCGCACGCTCCCACGCTACCCGGCAGGAAAGGGCGCGGTCGGGACTCCCGAGACCGGAGACCCACTTGCTCCCACCTTTAACCTGCAGCAGCATCAGCTTCTTATAGGGCACCGCGCTGTTGTTAGAGTTTTGCTCCGTCAGGTTGACGCTCCTCAGGCTGACGCTGCTGAAGTTCTCCTTACTGGCTAAGCCGGCCAGGGTCACTTCTGAGAAGTTGGAGTTGGAGGACACTGGGCGGGAGGCAGCATGGGTTTTAGGGCGGTGACACCTTTCCATGACAGTCAGACCTGCTGTCTCTGAAGTTAGGCTCAGAGCTCCTCCCGCCCCACCCCGCCAGCTCCTCCGCTCCCGAGGCCTGGCGCTGGGATACGCACTCTTTTCCACCTTCATCCGCTTGGACTCCATGAAGGCGACGTTCAGCCTCTGCTCCGTGTACTCCTGAAGGAGGTCTTCCCGGGCAGCCAGCATCTTCAGCGGGTTTTTAGAAGCCTGCACCCGGCGCTTGGGCCTCACGGCCCGCTTGTGCTCAGCCACGGCGGACGTCAATCTGCGGGCCAAGCGGGTCAGTCCGGTCAGCAGCACCACGCCAGGCCGGTAGTTCCTGGCTTCTCTCTTAGTCAGCCCAGCACCTTCACAATGAGCCCCTTTTCAGTCTTTTACTTGCTCACTAAGCAGCTAAGCGGCCAGGCTGGGCCTGAGCTTGCGAATGCTCCTGCCCGTGTCGCAGCCATCACAAAGCTTACGGCTCCTCCCGGCACCACTGCCCGGGTGGACCACAGAGCCTGGGCGGTAAAGGGAGCACTGTCCACTGTGTGCAGGATCTCAGAACCCTCGCAGCCTCCCTCAGCTCAGCCGGAGGCAGTGGTGCCTGAGGGGGCAGCTCAGCCACCGCCAGGCAGCTCGTAAGACCAGGGAGCTGCTGTCCTTCCTGTCCCAGGCCTATGGCGCGGTTCTCTCTGGAACAGCAGCCCCAGCGCCCGAGAATCACAAACTACCGCCTCCTCGCCGGACCAGACGATCTTCACCACAGCTTCAGTTCCCTCACACCCTCCACGGTGAGCTTCCGCTCCTCCGTGGGCCCCGAGAGAAAGAACTACAACCGTGAATAATGGATGGAAATGAAACAGGCCCGCCGGCCCAGACACCGCGACCCCGGAACTTTCTCACTCCCTGCACGGAAGGGAAGCGTGGGGAGGTGGCGGACACGGTCACCACACTCAGCTTCCAAGTGTGCAGGGTCTGTGCAACACCATGGTGCGTGCGTCTGTGTGTGCATTAGTGTAAACACACACAGGGGGCACTTAAAATATATGGTGAGTGTTTAAATAAAACTTTTATTATAGGAAAAGACACACTGCCATCAACCTTCCTCAGAATCCTCCCCTTGCTTTGAACACACCTATCCCATTGTTCTTGTCACTTTTTGAAGCAGTCCAGGAAGTTCTCTTTCATGAGTGTCTTTAGGAGTTGTGACAAAATACACAGCGAATGCTACCACTGCGTGCTGTTCAACGGAAAGCAGGCTTGTGAAAATCATCACGCGTTTCCCTCCTCACCTTACTCTCGGGTCTGGCACCGTGAGTCTCCCGGCTGTTCTCCAGAGTCAACGTGATCTTGGAGCTAAACATTCTGAGTAGACTCAGGGCACAAAGGGAACCACAGCACTGCACTGAAGACATTCATCAAAGAGGATTTCCAGAACCGCTTCAGGAGCACAAGCACAGTATCTCTAGGGAGGGTGTGACGGCTGTGTCTGCCGAGAGGTCCCCCCCAAAGCCTTGTGTGGTCGGAGGTGGGGCTTCTCGGAGGTGGCCGGATCTAGGTGTGTGATGCTGGGACTGATTCATGGTGTGACGCTAGGGTGAGGGTGTGAGTGATGCCGACCTAAGGGTGGGCAGCCTGGGTAAGGTGGAAGGGACAGAAAGGCAGTCATCACTTGTTGCTTGTGGTTGCTGCCTCCTGCCTGCTCTGCCTGCCCCTCTTCCAGCCACAGTGCCTTGGAGCCAGCCAATTACAGACTGAAACCTGTGCGCATTGTGAGCCAAGTAAAACTTTCGTCCCTCAACTTGGGGTGTCTGGGATTTTGGCTCAGCAACAAGAGAAAAGTAACTAAGATGGTGGGGGGTATTTTAAGGGGGATTAACGGCAAGGTATCTTTCGCTGTAATAAACAATTTTTAATTTAAACACTCACTGTATGTTTTGATTACATCCGTATCTATTTACATTATTAGCAATATAAACAATAACACTGAGGGAGAAGATTGAGAAATGGTTAAATAATCAAGTACACAGACACCCCAAATATTATGTTAAGGCTGAAATGTCAATTTGTCCATGAAACAAACTGAACAAACTAAAATAGGCCAAAAATGCACGAGGAGCCGCTCACAGAAACTTCCAGAAGAGACTTTCCCTGACCGTTCTGTAGGAAGGGAAAAACGCGTGCCAGGTGCTGTGGGCACAGCCTGCCCAGTGTGTGCCCCGCTGCTGGAGACAGCGCCTGACTCTGCCTGGGGAGAGCCCGCCCCACACTCTCCATGGCCCCAGGATGCTCTCCGACCTGGCTCTGGCCAGTCCTGGTCCCATCTTCTAATCATGGGCTGGAATGGATGTCATCGGGACAGACCAAGGAGGCCACCGAGCCATGCCCAGCACACGTGGGATTTGTGCTGAAGCCACATGGAGAGAGGCTGTGGGTGCTGCTTGGCCAGGTGGCTGTGGCCCGCAGAACCAGAGCCACCCGTGAATGGAGCCAGTCCACGTGACAATGGCCACAGAGAGACCAATTCCCGTGAGCCCTGGGAGCTGAGGTCACACTGCACTTTCCAGCCCCTGAACTGCAAAGCCTTCCACACCTTTCTTTTGCTCAAGCCGGTGTGACTTAGGCATTTTTCTGGTGCTCAGAAACTGCCAGAATCCTGGTGCCAGTGCCGCTGCCTCGGTGGCTTCACGATGCTCTCACGTAAGGAGAGCGCAGTGCTAGCATCGAGAAAAGCTGCAGATCTACTGACTGCATACAGTAAGGCAGGCAAAATCACACTTTTCCCTGATATTCTATTTACTGGTACTAATTTGAACTCATACCATCCAAAGAGTTTTCGGATGTAAGAATTCAACACGTCACACGGAACAGGTGCGAGCATCTCTGCTAAGTGGTGTCAAGCTAAGAAAGGGCACAGCAGCATTTGAGTCACTGTTTCTGTGGACAGGGCATGTGTCTATGGCACACACGGTCTGCCTGGATGCGACCTGGACCGCAGCAGTTCCACTCTGGGCGCCCCGGCCCCGAGCAGCCGGCACTAGAGTGACGGTGGCTGCCACAGTTCCATGGCAGTGAAAGTAACACGGTCCTGTGGCTCAGGACCATGTGGGACAGTGAAGGAAGGAGAGGTGGAGACCGAAATGACTCACTTGGGTGCATAAGGATCGAAAAGAACATCAAAGTCCTCATCCAGATCCACGGGGCTCCTGGGTGCGTTGTGGTCCATGCTGCGGTAAAATTTGGCAAACGTCTCATCATCATCCAACTTCATCACCTCCTTAACGGATTTACCAGTGACAGTAAGCACCGTTTCTCCGACTATGAATAAACAAGCAGATAGACAATGTAAGAGTTCTATAAAGAACAATCACTGCTACTAAACCTTGTAACAAGTTACAAGTCACCACCGCAGTGGAACAAATCCACCCAGTGCAATGGCAGGAGAAGGTGGCTGCCCTTTCTGCCCACTGTTCACTGAGCCTTTCCGAGCCTCACCTTTTTCTACTACACTGCAGGAGAGCTAACCTCTGCCTTGTCCCATTTTAGGGGTCAGCTAAGGTTTGCTGCCGAAGACCAAGCAATATTTTAGGCTTTGCACAGGGAGCCACACGGCCAGTGTTGCAACTACTCAGTTCTGTTGTTCTAGTGCAAAAGTGGAGACTAACAGCAGGTTCACAAACAGCCACAGCTGCGTTCCAATAAAACTTTATTTACAGAAGCAGGTGAGCACTGGCTTTAGCTGCGATCGCTGTTTTCTAACCATGTCCCAGATCACTGTTCCGTGTCCACACTGTTAGTATTCCTACTGGTCAGTTACTGTAGTAATTTTATCCTGCTGCCTTATAGTAAACTGTTTTCTATTATTTTCAACCTTCTAGGGGTCACTGACAGTAACACGGACTCCCAATGTCTAGTACTGGATAAGTTTTATGTACTGAACATTTTTTTGTATTTGCATATTATTCTTTTGTAGGCTCTGTTGACTTTTTAATGAAATATTTATCCCGATATCTATATATTAACATTTTCTCTTAGAAATCATTTGTGATTTTCAGGAAAGAATATCAGCTTTTTCCTTATTAAAAACTGATACAATGGGAAGGTTATGCAAGATCATGTTGATTTTGCATATTTATAATTATTTTCAGAGCTAAAACCACAATCACTCAATTCCTAATTCTGATCTGAAGACTGCTGAAAGATTTAGGTTTTGAAACAAATGCGTTATTGGGAGACTGGGAAATCAGAGCTCAGAACACTTTATCAGGCTTGACCCAAACTTCACTTTTTGAAAGACAGCAACAAAGATAACGCTAAAGTAAGAATTAGTAAATCTATACAGAAGGAAGACAACTTAGTGAGGAGAAAAAGCAGTCAATTAGGATTTGGGGATCCTGAGGGAAGAGCAGGATTATTTGGGTTTTCTTAGTTCCTCACTGAAAATACAAATCATGGTGTACTATAAGAGTACAAGCCAATAAAGCTGCCCTCTGGCTTCTGGTAACTACCTTTGTTATTCAGCCTTCTCAGAAAGGTCTCTAGCCTGTCCAACTTCAGGTCCGATTCCAACTGCATATCCGGTCTGGCTTCAATATCTAAGCAAGGAGAAACCATCAGTGACAGCGTGTCCTTGGAGACTCATCCAATCAGAAATAGGACACAACGGGCACCCTGGTGACTCACCTTCCAGAGGTTTGGAAACTGGGGTGGTGCCCCTCGATTTGCTGCCAAGAGGGGATGCTACTGGGGTTATGGCCGTGGGCGACGCCAAACCTGCAGGTAGACGGTGGAGCAGACTTAGCATCCTAAAACCTTCCCAGGACCCTAGTCATCCTCACGAGCCCCAGCGCAGACGACAACTTATGAGAACTTATGCCTGTACCTGTGCGTGCATGTGCGTGCATGCACACACACACACGCACACACATGGGTGACCGGCAGGCCCCACAGCCGTGGGGCAATCCACTGTGCACAGGGTTTGTTGTTCCCGATGAGAAAGTGGCTGCCAAGCTGATATTCCAAAATGAACAATGAAGCCATGGGAAAAAGTATCAGGGTTGTGTAAATGGGATAAGAGTGTGCAAGGCGATCAGAATACACCCAGACCAAAGCAGTGTTCAGTTCTGAAGGGTGGGAGGTGCCGCTGACAAGAGGGTGAGCTGCACTCTTTCCCCACAGAGGAAGTTGAGGGTAAACTGTGTCACACCAGCCAGCAAGCGTCCCTAGCCCTGGACGTGAGGACAGTCTGGCCTCATGACGCTACACAGGACAATGACCTGAAGAGCGCTGACCTTACAGACACAGGAGAGCATGTGCCACAGTGACTTGTGATTGTGGAGGGCACACTCACCTCCGGGTGGCTGCACACCAGTGTGCTTTCTCAGATGTACACTGAAAGGCAGGATGGGAATCTTAGAAAGGCCAAGAGTAAGGGACACATGAAAGGGAAAGAATGGAATTACAGAATGGAGATGAGGTTTAGTTGGAAAAAGAAAGCTTAATAAAGACAATGATAAGTTTTTTGTTTTTTGTTTTTTTGGTTTTTTTGGTGCTGGGGATCGAACTCCAGACCTTGAGCTTGTGAGGCAGGTGAACGAACCACTGAGCTAAATCCCCAGCCCCGATAATAATTATTTTTTCCTAATTTAAAAGGAAATAAATTGGAAAGGGAAGTAATTAGTGTGTTTATGAAGAAAATGATATTAATGTTCTCCTTTGTGGTAAATGTTAAGTCCTTAGATGATGGTGCCCTTTTAAGTGTCACCTGAAGAACACCCAGAGGTTGTGTAACCACTCTCTGCTACAGGGAAAAACAACAGCATGAATTTCTCTGCTCCTTCCTCCTGTGAGCTGGCAATCTAAGGACCATAGCATAAAAACTCTAAGGAAGACTATCAATATATAGCTTAAGTTTCAGGTGATATTCTGAAAATACTTATTAATCATATACATATATTTGTATATATCCATTTGCAAATATACTGTACGTGTTTTAAAATTTGCTTCAGTTACCAGATCTTGAAAGGTTTTCCATGAGAAAGCAAGCTTTCCTGAAGACTGTAACAGAAGCCAGGAACATTCAGAGTCAGAGAGTGGGGCAGTACATCACCCCCACTGAAAGGGTGCTTGAGAGACATGGAAGAGTTCGGCAGCAGAGAAGTCCTGAGCTCTCGCAGTTAGGAACAGGGCTCTACTCAGGAGGCTGACTTACAGAGTACCGGCAGAGCCTGCGCTCCTATTTTCTGTGGGTGCCCCCTGCTGCCCACCTAGGAGGTAGAGCACCAAGAACTGCCAAAGAGGAGGTAAGACAGCACACTTCCCAGTGGGAAGATTTTTCCCTGATGAAGGAGAACTTACTGATTCAAATTACAAAATATTAAGGCAAACCAAAGCCCTCTTCATATTTGTTTTCAATGACTTCCAGATGCAACCAGATTCTCCCTGGGAATACTTTCATATCTCTCTTATTCAAAAGTGTGCATTTCAGTATCCTGCTTCCAGGCCACTCCTGGAGTATCACAAACCCCGTGGAGTGCTAACTATTACACAGACCCCAGGAGCACCGCAGGGGAGGACACTTTAGCGAGGCTGGGGGCATAGAGGTTCCTGGGTGACAGATGAAATCACCATCCTGTGAGCCTCCTGGCAGCTCGTGACAGGGCACTTGGGTGGCACCTGGGGCAGGTGAGAGGAGAAGTCTCTGTGGCTGCTGTGTTTAGGGGCTGATGTGCTCTGCAGTGAGCGTAAGCTGGGTGTCACGGAACTGCAAATCAAAAAAAACTAGAAGCTCAAGTGAAATGTATGGCCCAGTAGGATCATAACAAATATGAGAAAAATAAGATACAGTTTTAAAAATTAGATTAAAAGTACAGAGGGCTTGGGATATAGCTCTATGCTATAGCACTTGCTTAGCAAGTGCGAGGTACTGGGCTTGATCCCCAGTATTGCAAAAAAAGAAGTATTTCCTGAGTAAGCCATATAGCAGGTGTTACATGAATATCCCTGATTTACTCAAGAAAAAGGAAAGCAAACTCATGCACTGAGGAGTAAGAACTGTTATCCAAACCTACATCAGAGCAAGTCTGTTTCCTTTGATGTCAGTACTGACGGGATAGTTAAGAGCTCACTCAAAAATGTTACAATTTTTAAGAGGGGAGCGGACAAAAGAAATCAATGCAGAAAGTCACCAGGATACAAGCAAGAGCAGCAGTCAGAAGGCTTTGAGTGAACTTCTCAGCTCCGTCTGGGTTTACCCATCGGCCCCTCAGTTTGCTTTGCTAGTGGAGGAACGGGGCTCATAAGAGTGGGTTACTCGTGACCGTATAGGTTGTGATCTGATGAGAGCAACAGTCAAAGGTGGGCTCATTCTGTGGGTGTAAGTTGTCCTCTGCGGTTCCCCGACAATTCTAAGATTAAGTAAGACTAGATCTGCTAGAAAGAATTCTTCCACCAAGGTTCCAGTTAGCTACAATTCAGGATTCCCCCCTCCTTCTCTTCCTTTCTTCTGCAAAGTTGTATCTGCAGTAAGTCAGAATCCCTAAAAGTTCTGAGTAAAAGGAATGCTAAACCTCTGGGCTGATGACATGTTAAGACTAAGTAAATGTGAACACTTTGGCCATTAACTTAGGAAATTTGCTTTCAAATAATAGCTTGGAAATGAAGATACATGCATAGTGCATACAATGACAAAGGGACACCTGTGCTTGTAGGACACAGCATCAAGCCCCAAACACTCCCAGAATGGAAATCCTTCTGGTGACATCACTAAGCACATGGCATGTCACGTGTCAGTGTCACGAGGTGTCTGGGTGCAGGCTTCAGAGCAGCCCCAGTACTGCTACTCAGTAATGAGCTTCTGCAGGGAGACCCCACTCTGTGCATGGAAGGTTCCTTCAGACAACTACTAAAACAAATCTGGAAACTGGCCTTTGTAGACCCGAGCAGTCCGCTGTGATAGGAGACCTAGGAATTAGCCTACAAGGGAGAGGCAACAAACTCCTCTATTGCTAAAGGCTTACTTGGGATGAGCAGATGACAAGTCATAAGAAACGGGACACAATTTAAAAATAATTATGGGAGAGGACTGAGATTTATTAGCAGATTTGCAATTGCTTTTGAAACCTACAGTTGTACTCAGTTCCCGAATGGGTATGTTTTGAAATAGTGACAAGTCAAAGGCCTGGGTGTAGCTCAGTGGTAGAGAGGCTGCCTAGCAGGTGTGCGGTTGCGGTTGGATCTGCAGCACCACAAAGAAAAAAAAAAAAAAAAAAGCAAAAACTGACAAGTTGAGTCACGCTTCTTCCACTGAAGATGACATGAACTGACTCGGAAGTACAAGTGTCCGGGAGGCATATTCACAGAAGCTACAGTGAGAACATTCATGACATCAGAACCACGCTGGGAAGGGGAAGTAAAAAGGATCAAGGCGCCCTGTGTGCCTGCCCAGCGCCCCACGTGGACGTATGCATCGTGCACGGGAAATGTACACTTCTAAGAAAAATTGAAAACGACCTCAAAAGACCACAGAGAACTCACAGATTGTGTCCCACCTCCACGGGGAGTGTGCACACCAGCGCGTGTATGCGCACTCACACACACACGCACACAAGCGTGCCCGCCGCCTCTGACCTTTCTTCACCATCCTGCCAGCCACCGTGAACTGGGTGGAGTCGTTGGCGGCGCCTCTGCCCCTCGTCTTCCAGGCCTCTTCCCGCACAGTGATGAGGCGCTTCCGCTCCTCGATCGTCATCTGGCTCTCTCGACTCTCCGACACCCGCTGTTTGCACAATGTGTGAGAGAGAGAATCAGAGCGGAAGGAAGGGAGCGTGACAGAGGTGTGACTCCTGCCGCGGCCCTGCCTGGGCCAAGAAGCGGGCACAGAAGGCGGGAGTGAGGCTGCTGCTACTCCGTCTGGGCGAACCCAGGCTAGGTGCCCGCCTCACGGGGTGTCCCGAGGGCGAGGCCTACAGCCCAGGCCCGCAGAGGCCGTCTCCGCCCAGCAGGGGTGCGGCGGGCAGTCAGGCACCCGGGTCACCCTGAAGGTGGCTGACAGGGAGGACGCACAGGTACAGAACTTTCCTGCTTCAAAGTGCGTGGGAAGTTCCGGCCCGGGTCTGCAGAGGTCCCCTTCGGGTTCTAAGCTACTGGTGACCCTGTTTGATGCATGGCTGGGGACAAGTAGAGCTCAGGGGAGGGAGGCTGGAGGGGCCACCGAGGAGAAGCAGACAGACGCGGAGGAGTAGGAGGCAGGAGACAGAGGCCCAGGCTCAGGGCCAACAGGACAAGAGGGAGGAGGGAGGGAGAGGAAGAGTGGGTCCCTTCGGGGCACCCCCAGTGCTGTCAGGACAGGGCTCCTCTCCTCCTCTTTCAGTGTCCCTCCCTGCCTGCGCCACCGCCCAGCATGGCACAGGACAGGGTAAGAAGTAGGGAGCGGGGAGCCAATGCCTAGCGAGGGAAAGAGCAGCAAACGGGTCCTCCCAAGAGCCCAGAGAGCTTCCCCGGACACCACCAGCAGCCACTCCGAGGACAGGAAGCTGGCGATGGCCTCCTGGGTTTGTCTTTTCCCTGTGACCCCAGGACACCTCCTGAGCCGTTCTTGGACTGTAACCGAGCTCTCCTCAGTGTCCTCTGCCAACCCTCCCAGCAAAACAAAGTGATCCTGCAACTCTTCAGACAGTGGAGGACAAGCCGCGCACTCTGACTTCCACCCCACCACTGAGGCAAGTGATCTGCGGCCCCTTAACGGGAAACAGTGCCTGGACTCGGGAAGGATGGAAGACAGCGGAGGCCAGCACAGCCCATTTCTTGCTGCCCTGGAATGAGGGAGGGTAACAGAAGAAAGTGATCTGGTCTCCTTTCCAGCAGCATCAAACCAGGTCGGCACTCATGGACATTGGTTTCAGACCTGGACATATCCCTCTCAACTAACTTATGAATCTTCCCTGTACAGGGCTTTTTCATAGAAAAAGTCATAGAAGTGACAGCAGCCAGAAGTGACTGAGATGTCCTTGGTAATTTAAGGTAATTAGATTAGAAATCTTTTCCTAAAGAAGTAAGACAATGCAACACAGGCTCTGCCTTGGATCCTAAATGTTGCGGGGCTTCATAGGACCTGGTTGGGGGTAAACCGACACAAGAACGTGGATGTGGCATAAACGTGGTGTCACTTTTATGTTCTTCATGTTGCTCGCTGTAGTATGTGGCTATGGGGTGAAATATTTTTGACTTTAGAAAACACGCATTGAGGTATTGAAAGGATCATGTCTCCAAACTACTTGTACATGGTTTAGGGTGTAAATAAATTTAGATTCACACACACACACACACACACACACGTGCACACACATGAGATGGGACAGGTAGAGGGCAGAAGGGCTGAGATTAGGCCAGGGTGAGGAATGGGGAGCAGAAACCAATGTCAACAGCTGGTGAATCTGGAAAGGATGTAAGAGAGTGCCCTGCCTAGTAAAGTTTTAAACTGTATCATTGAAGGGCTATCAAAAGCCTTTGAAAACCCAAAAACTTTGTCCTGAACTTTCCTGCTCATGATTGACAAGAAGACTAATTCTAAGGAATACTCTGAATCAAACACCCATATTGAATAAACTGTAAGGCTGACTTGCCAGGAAGCCCTCGTGAAATTTAAGCAAGGCTAAGTTTTCTCTGAAAATATGGTTTTAGGAGTAAAGGTGAATCAAACCAATAAAATACTTGGCTTAAAATATTTTAAAAAAAAAGTGTAAAGTGTCAAGAACTTTGGCTCGTCCCAAGGTCCAGGCATCACTTGTCCTGTGGTAAATTCTCACACCCAGAAACAAGACACCCTGAGGCAGCAACTCCTCCCCAAGGCCCCGGGCACCCCTGAACCCCTGCATGGACACAAGGGACATGACGTGGGGTGACATGGCCACCACAGAATGTAAAGCTTCCATTCTTTTGAAAGACCTGGGTCAGGAAGAGATATTTTTACTCCCCTCATAAAGATAATATTAAACATAAAAGTTTCATTTCCTTAGAAGTTTCTACTTCATTTGGCAACTTAGTGAATGATTCCTTTCATCTGCTTTACATGGCTCTAAAGAATACAAAGTTTGTATATTCATAGAAGAATTTATCACAAGTGACTATTAAATTTTACAGCTCAAAATATGAGAACAAGGTGGATCTGTCCATTTACATTTTTAATCTAAAAAAATTCACTACTTTCTTGTTTTTCTGAATTTTTCTTTCCTTGCATTTAGAGGAAAACATAACACATATAGTAGCAAGTGCTGTACTAGGTCAATTCCCATGGTTCAATCATAAATATTTAGGATTATCTGGGATAGTAAGACAGAGCTGAGGAAGACTATCCCACCTATAATTCATGCTGTCAAATACAGACCTCAATAATTGTGGTGGGAAGAGATGGGGAGTATAGGGTGTGTGTGTGTGTGTGTGTGTGTGTGTGTGTACAAGTTAGAGAAACAGCTGGGGAGACAAAGGGCCACTTAGTAGAACACCGACTGAGACCATCCGAAGGATCAACTAGGAATGTCTTCCAGGCACCATGCGATTGCTGCTGGTTTGCTTCTCTCTGCACAGACTGAGAAACCGTGGAGACTCTCACTGCATATTTTGTACATGGGGACGTGATACAACGAGAGAGATTAACCTGCAGTGTTGGGAGTAGGGCGAGCCTCAGGGTAAAACTCTCCCACGGGTGGAATGCTTCAGAGAAAGGAAATGTGATCTGATGTTTCAGCTTTTTATTACATCCAGTTAGACTCAGCTAGAGTAGAATGGTCCCAGAAATAAGCAACAGAAATAAGGCCAAGGGTAAAAATTCTGGGCACTATTAAAGAAAGTTAGCTTTGCTTCCCCTTAAGAGAGATTTCAGTCTACCATCAGGGCACAAAGTCTCAAGTGGTCTGCAGAAAGGAGGGAGCAAACACCACAGGCCTTGCTCTGGCCTCAGAGTAGCCATGGATCCATATACCTAACAGCTCTTAAAGGACAGCAGGAAAGCAGAGGCTTACTCAGTGCAGCCTGGCCGCCTAAGAGGAAGGGCAGGATGAACACTGACGCGGGCAGAGACATTTCTAGGTGAAGCTCGTGCAGTGTCCAGCACTCTATCTTCTTCTCTCACTTAAAATTAAGGCACTAGAACTGCTGGAGAAAAGCGAAGGGCTGATCCTATCTTAGAGGATAGCACTGATCTATCACCACCTAACTGGTTTAAAAACGTTTCAATTTATCTGGAAAAATTGCTATGAAGTAAATGTATAGAATCTAAAAATTAAAATTTGAAGTAATAAAACAAATTGCTTTTGGTAAATGTTATTTTTCTTTAAACTTAAAAATATGTGAAAGATAGTCCATGTTCATAGAGAGGAAAACTGTTTTTTCAAGATGTCAGTTCTTCCCAACTTGACCTATAAATTTAATGCAACCCCTAGCAAAATTCCAGTGCTGTAGAGTTTATATGGAGAGGGAAAAGGCTCAAAACAGCCAACAGAAAATTGGAAGAGATGAACAGTGTTGGAGGATGTACAGTCTGACCTTTAAGGAGTATTATAAAACTATAGGAATTAAAACTGTGTAACGTGGTGAAAGAACAGATGACTAGATCAGTGGAACAGGATAAAAGACCCAGAAAGGAGAAAGTGCAATTCAACACAATCCTGGAAATACTGGACATTCAGCCCCCGCCAAATCTGCCAAATGGTATTATATTAACTCAAAATGGATCACAGACCTGAATGTAAAATGCAAAGCTAAAGCTAAAAACCTCCTAGAAACTATTAAAAGCATGAGCGTAGGCGACCTTGGGTTTACTGATCACTTTTTAGATAAAATATCAAAGGCATAGACATGAAATAAAATTGATAAAATGGATTTCCATGAAAATAAAAATTTTTCCTCTGTGGAAGATACTGACAAGAGTAAGACAAACCACAGATGGGAGAAAATATTTTTTAAAACATAGCTGATAAAGGACTATTATCCAAAAATATACAGGGAAATTTTAAAATTCAGCAATAAGAAAACAACCAGATTAATAGGTAAAGGATCTGAAACAGATATTTCACCAGTGAATACAGACACAAGTTAAGCAAATATACTCACCATCATGTCATCAGGGATATACAAGCTATAACAACGAGACACAGATACGCACCTACTAGGATGATGAAACTCTTAAACACTGACAAAACCAAATCCTGCCAAAGACATGGAGCAAGAACATTCACTGCTGGTGAGGATGCAAAATGGCAGAGCCACTTTGGAAGAGAGGGCGGAGGTTTCTTAGGGATATTCTTATCATATGATAGAGCAATCGCACTCTTCAATATTCCAAAGGAGTTGAAAACGTACATCTGAACAAAATCCTGCAGACGGAGGTGCAGAGCACCTTTCTCCATAACTGCCAAAGTGCTCCTTCGTGGGCAAATAGCCAAGTAAATGGTGGTAAACCAGAACAACCGAACAACATCCACATCTAAACATAAATGAACTATCAGGGCCTGAAAAGACACAGGCACCCAACATGCATCTATGAAGTAAATGAAGGCAGCGTGCCAAAGTTACCCACTGTCTGTCCAACTCTACAACATCCCGAAAGAGGCAAAACCATGATAAAACGATAGCGACTGACAAAAATTAGGGTATGAGAGAGAGATGAGCAGGTGAAGCACAGAGGCCCGAGGCAGTGGAACGAGACACAGGTCGTTACGTCAAAACCAAGAGGATGTACACCAAAAAAGCCCTAATGTAAATCATGGGCTTCGGGTGCTATGTCACTAGGTTTATCAACTGTACAAATGTCACTGTCGTGTGAGACACCGACAGTGGAGCGGGCTGGTGCAGGAAGGCTGGGGTGTGCAGAAACCCTGTTCGATTTAGTTGTGAACCTGAACCCAAAACTGCACTGAAGCTAGTTGTCTTTGTCTCTATCTCTATGTACATGCGATGTGTAGAGCACAAGGGCAAAGCAGCCACTCACGGAGAAGCGGGGAGTTCCTGTCTGCGACGAGGCACAGGAAGACAGGGGGACCCAGCAGACCCCTCTCCTGTGAGCCTCACATGCGACACCTGAGCGTCCTGCCCCACCATTGCTGGTCCTGAAGGGCCAGCGCCACCAGGATGCCGCTAGTGGGGTGCAGCCCAAGAGGTCAAAAGCCTCAGTTCCGATGCGGGGACCGAGGCCTCAGGGAAGCCGCTGGGGCTTGTCCCACGGGAGGAGGGTGTTTATTGCGGTTTGGACCTGAAGTGTTTCCCGAAGGCCCGGGTATGCACAGCTTGCTCAGTGGCCTGTGCAGTTAGTGGGAGGTGACGGAACCCTTAGGAGGCAGGACCTAGTGGGAGGGAGTTGGGCCACCACGGCGTGGCCTTGAAGCAGACACAGGGGCCCTGCCTCTTCCTTTCTCTGTTCACTTCCTACCCAGCGTGAGGCGAAGAAGTCCGCTTGCCGTACGCTCTCACCATGATGTTCCGCCTCACCGTGGCCCACAGTCATGGAGCCAGCTGACCACAGACTGTGCCCCGTGAACAGTGAGCCAAACTGAGCCTTGCCTCCTCATGAACCGATTGTCTCAGGTGCTTCTGCACAGGGACGGAAAGCAGACTGACATGGAGACCAGGACCATGGGAGTGATGTGGTTACTTTTCACTGCTATTGTGACACCAAGAACATTTCAAGGGGAACAGAAAACAACTGCTAATATTTTTAGTTTTAAAAATGATCACATATCAATCAGCCCAGGCCAGGTTCAGGGCAGGGTTCAGATGAGGGAGAGTGGGTAGGTGGGAAGGGGCTGTGGCTCCTCACTGACCAGGACAATTGTGACCTGATCACAGCAGATGGCCACTTCTCACCTTGTGTTCCTTCCCGTCCCTTACACACCCCGGAGTCCTCTACCATACCCACGAACTCTATGAAGCCAACAAGACAACACCCTCACCGAGCTGGGGCAGTGAACGCTCAGGAGCACTCAGCAGGCTCCTGACAGGATTTAAAGCTTGGAGACTGAAAGGGGAAACTTTCCCCTGAAACCAGCTCCACGGCTCTGGGGTGAATTCATACCATTGGGTCTCCCTAAAAGTCCGAGCTGGGCTTGGTGGGGAGAGACAGTAACGATGACTTCTCTAACAGAAAGTTAATGTACTCATAGTGATTGGGCTTCTTTTCAGGCGGGCTGGGCCTCGACGCTAACACTACGAGGATCAGTTCAGCCAGTGCAGTGTGTGTGCAGGAACTGAATGAGATAATGAGACTGCCGCTGTTCACATGATACAGTCACAGAGAAGGCAACCAACACGGCAACGGACAGTTTTAACATTAGCATAAAACCTCGCCTTCGAACCAGGGGCAGAGGATTTGCTCTGTGGCTGGACAGAGGCTGTATCCTGCCTGGGATGTGAAAACCCGACAGGAGGCACTGAAGGAGTATCTGTGACCAGAGTTAGGACCACAGGGCAAGGCGAGGAGAGGCGAGGCCAGGGCGGCGTTAGCTGTCAGGCAGGGACTTCCCTCTGACTTTCTTTTTAGGCAATTTAAATTTTCCTACTGTGACAGTCAGTTCTGTCCAGGGAGCCCTGCCTCCCAGATTCCTGAAGAGAGGACAGGCTGGGCCCTGGGACCTGGAACTGAGTACGCCCAGCAGTGACTGCTGCTGCGCAGAGGGAGGAGCCTCTCCCACGCGGACATGAACAGGTTCCCAGACCAAAGGCCCCGGCTGTCCTTGTTCTGGGAGGACCCACTCAGGATTCTCTCCAGGGTCCGCCTTTCTTCAGCCTTCTCTTTCGGGACTCTCGGGCTCTGCACACACCGGGGAGCCGCTGTGTGGTTACAGAAGGGCGCCTGCCAGAGGGGCTTACCCAGAGCAGATTACACTCGGCGCTGTCCTCTGTGACTCCTCCTTCTTCCTACAGGCAGCGACAAATGCAAACGCGGCAGAGGTTGGAGAGGAGTCTGGTTGGGGCAGTCATTTCCAAGTGCTCAGCCCGGCTCAGTGGGAAGCATGCAGTGCTCACATTGCGGTGCCCCAACGAGACTCATCCCTGAGCCGGGCCGGGGTCCTCTCCCTGGAGGCCATGGTACCAGCCTCGCTCTGGGAGCCTCCTGCCCCTCACTTCTGACTTGGAATTGCAGTGACAGAGGGAAGGTGAGCGTGGCAGATTTGTGCCCTCGGGTTTTCGGGAACTTATTAGATGTCCTCGATCTCAGGGGCACTCCTGACCGGGCAGGACCTGAAGTCCTCATCTGGGATTCAGAAACAAGCTGGGTGGGGCAGCCCGTTGCTGTAATCCCGGCACTTTCGGAGGCTGAGGCAAGGCCACTGTAGATTTGAGTCCAGCCTGGACAATTCTGTGACTTAGTGAGACCCTGTCTCAAAATACAGAACAATTAAAAGGGCTGCACCAAACAAGTGCAGGATTTTTAATGTCCCAGGAAATGTCAGATACTCTGGATTACCAGATGATTATCTTTTTTTCTTTCTTTCTTTTTTTTTTTTTTAATTACTGGGGATTGAATGGATGCTAGCAAACATTCTACCTCTGAACTACAGCCCTAGACCTTTTTATTTTGAGTCAGGGTCTTGCTAACTTGCCCAATTTAGTCTCAAACTTGAGATCCTCCTGCCTTAGCCTCCTGAATAGCTGAGACTATAGGCTTGCACTACCCTTCCCTGCTTAAGCACAGATCAACTTTTTCCTCCCATGAAGTGCTAAGGATAGGATCCAGGGCCTCTTACTGGTAGAGCAAGTTCTCTGCACTGACCTACACCCCAGCCCCTGGATATTTGTCTTAACGAGAGGATGTGAGGGTTCCCATGGATGCTGTAACATCAAACAGGCTGATCTAGGGTTGGGATTTAAAACGATTTTTTTGCAACCTGCAATTTGGTTGTAACAAAGAGGCTCTGGCTGAACTTCTTTAAGATTTTTGTCTCATTTCTTTTTCCCTCTCTAATGGAATGAGTTAACTCGAGAAAATGGCACACAAATCATGCTCAAGAGCACGTGTTACACATGGTGTGGACCAGGCCAAATCTACAAACCCAGGGCCTGGCTGCTTTGGAACTAACTATGTATGCTACAGGGAGTCAAAGCTAGCTCTGGCCCAGATTAAACCTAGCAGAAGGACAAGAAGGGTGGCAGCCGTGGGAGGAAAAGGAAGGACCTAGGTGAGGCAGATAATCAGGGGTCTTCGCAGACCACCAATCTGACGACTGGGAGGAGTGAACCGGAAAGCCAGAAACTGCTTGCAAGCTCCATCTTCCCTGAGGCCCAACTGAAAGTTCAGACCCCAAAGGAAAACTCTTGGTTCTCCAAAAGGTATTCATGGCCTGAAATGAGGCCATTCTACCAAATAGGACTCCAAAGGAGATGCACCTTGAAGCCTTTCCTTATGGAACAGCCCTTTTGACAGAATCAGAAAAGCCACAGATTCTCAGTCCTTTCCTGTTCTCTTTCTAAATGTGGCTCTTGGAGCATATGAGTTCCCGTGAGGCTCCCATTACACTTTCACTGGCCAGGGCTGACCCACATGAAGTATGGGTTTCCTGGGGGCCATGGCACTGACTTCCTGGGCCATAGGCCGGCCCGCCACTCCTGTGTTCGCACAGCTGCAACTCGGGTCAGGGAGGATGGGCTCTAGAATGTCCGGAAACCATGGATATCTGCTGTTTGGTGAATTCACAGATTCGGAAGGAAGTGATGCCCTGACCAGGAATCCAGCTCCTTTCTACCCCCCGTGGGAAGAACAGAAGTTTCTGGTCCTGTCCTCAGAGCAGCTCTGCCGGGGAAGGTTTAGAAGGACCCATGCACAAGCCCCAGCTGTGTGCAAACATCCAGTGTCATTCCTGCTCCAGGGCAGCGATCACACGAGGCCATTCTTCACATCAGACACCTGGTCTACCACACCTGAGCACAGGGCAGGGGTCTGTGAAATACACTTCCAGTCCCTAGGAAGGAGTGATCCCTGGGGCTGTCACCGGCCAGCTGAAAACCACGAGACATCAACTGAACATGAGGTTTCCCAAGGTCAGCAATGCAGGTCTCAGCACAGGTTGGCTTTTTATAACTTCAAAGAGCTTATTGTTGCACTTCAAAGTGGACCAGGCCACTGAGGAGGGCAGGAATAATGAGCCCAGGGTGGCTGCAGCATCAGTGGCAGCCAGGACTCCAGAGACAGCAGTGAACACTCAAGCCCTGGTCACTGTCACCGGGTTTCCGACCCCGAGGAAAACTGCAGGGGGAGCCGACACCTCTGGACTTCTCCAAAGCTCAGCCCTGTGTGTAGCAATTCCGACTCGATCTCCTGCAGCACCACGCTTGGGAAATCTACCTTTTTCTGTGCTTTTTAGTTTCATTTTTATTTTCACCTGGCTACAGGAGACCTATGTTGAAGTCTGTGTTGAAGTTGTTTCAAGATTCTATTTTTGTCAGTGCTGGGGATTGAACCCTGTGCCGTATGCTGCTAGGTCAGGGCTCTCCAGCTGCAAAGTTCCTTGAAATAAAGTTGTGGGCCACGGATACAGCACCGTCTTGGATGGACCCAGCTTTTTCCTTGAAATCTACCTATCACCTGTATACACTGCAATGTTCTACGTTTGGCTGAGAGCTTCATCCACGGCTGAGATGAAATGTCTTAGTCATTATCTGGAACCCTAAAGAGAATTCAGATTGCTGTTGCAGTGTCCCCTGGGCAGACGCAGAGGTTCCAGTCAAGCTGAGCCAGCACTCCTGACTCAGTTTGTGGACTCTCCATTTTATATAAGTTCCTCAGTGTGTACAAGTCACACTCATAATTTCTGTCTTTCACAGATGCTTATTTTGCTTCATTTTGGAGATGGGCCCTTCCGCTCTTGCCCTGGCTGGTTCTGAGCTCCTAGCTTAGGTGATCCTCTGACCTTTGCCTCCAGCCTAGCCGGGACTGCAAGTGTGGACCAGCACAGTTGGTGTCAGATCCGTCACTTAGAACTACCAGAGGTCCAAGTGACCAGCCAGCTGGAGCGATTTTTTCTTTTCTATTGGAAGACTTTAAACAGTAGGCATTGGCCAGCAGGCCTGGCTCACTCGCTGTCACTGTCACCGCACCTCTGGTCCTGAGTGCATTTGGAGCTGCAGCACCAGGCAGCATGATGTCACCACCGGTTCTGAAAGTGTGCAAAGCTGGCCAAAGGCTGTCATTACAGTTAACCTCACAGCTCACCAGGGCTCTTGCACACAAAATGCTGTGAGCACTGAGCACCACGTCTGACGTGACTTTGTTTAAACTGGTAACATATGTTACTGCACACCCCATAAAAGGCACGCTCCTCATTGTGGGCAGGCTGCACAGACCACAGTGATGTCCTTGTGCTCTATGCTTAGGTCTTGAATCTCTGCCGAGGAAATTCAGGGCCGTATATTAAATGTAACTTATGGCTGTTAGTAGGGAATTAACGTTTTTCATTTGATCCACATTCTAAAGCCACACTTCACTTGAGAAAGTTTTCAACTGGGCACAGTTTGAAACTTAGGCCCCTGCTCACTGAGGCCTGATGCCTGACGCTGTGATCAGGTCCATGAGATCCTAAGATTTGATCTTTTGATGGGTTTAAGCAACTTTGAGACAGACTGGGTGTTTAGCCTAAGGGCAAGAAAACACTGACGCTCTGTGAGAGGGATCAGTGAGCCAGGCAGGCGTGTCTCCAGGCACATCCCAGATGTGAGGGGAGTCAGAATGCTTCTTCCTAACATGGAAGGAGAGCGTTACCTTCTGTTTAAGTGACTGCTCCACCTCCTGGATGTGCAGGCTGCCAGCGGCAGATGCTTTGCCGTACTCCTGCTTCCGGTTAAGTCTGTTCCTCCAGTCTTCCTCACCACTCTTCTTCAACAGTGCTAGTCTAGAAGGAAAACATGCCGACCCAAAAGATGTCAGGACTGAGCTCTCCAAACTTAGAAAAGCCGCTTTCTAAGGGGATCCTGAGGACCTCTGCAGGTGAGGGAAAATCACAGCTAAACTCTGAATGCCAGGGAAAAGATGCACCACGACCCCAGTAAAGAAACGGCTCTGGTTTTTCCTTGCCTTGGGTTGAGAGGGCAAGTGATGAATTTCCGTCCCCGGTGAAAAAATGTCTTCTAGTGCCCCCCTCTGGTCATCTCTTGGAATGACATGAGATTAGGAAAGTGTAGTTTGCAGAAAACATCACATCAATGGGTTTAAAAAATGAATATATAAAGTAATGAAAAAGACATTAATATACATTTTGGGTAAAGAAAATTATAGTGTTTATAATGTTTCTCTTCCCATGCTAAGCCTTGTTCTTTTCTTCCAAACGGACTTGGGTCCTTCCAATGCATTTTAATACAAAAACGATTTTCTACAAACCCATTTAAAAAAATGATCTCTTCGATTTTCCCCAAGGGAAAGACATCTATGAAAAATGAATCTAATTAACTAAGATTTGTACCTAACCTACTTTAGTTCAACTCTGGCATGACTCGTTCTAAAGCTGTGCAGACACCGTTACCTTGAGAAGTTATTTCACGAACATGATGCTGTTTTAGCTAACTGTATTAGAAAGAATGACTAAGTCTTGGGCATTTAAGTTGGACAATCTAGTAGAGATAAAAGGCAAAAAAGCAGTGGTCATTGGACTTACTGAAGCTGATGTTCAAACTAACTAAATAATGAGGAAATTATCTCCACTGGGGCACCCTGGTTCCACCGTCCTGATTTGTCCTTGGGTGCTGGCCCGCTGGGTCAGTAGAGCCCTTCTGTTCATTCCCCGATTGCATTAAATATGTGAATGGAGATGAGGCAGCACACACTCTCTGACAGAAGCTTGTTAACAAATAAGCAAACAGATTGTTGTTACTCAAACATGAATCCAGCCTGGGGACGCAGTTCAAGGGTAGAGCGGGGACTGGACATTTGTGAGGCCTTAGGCTCAATTTCCGGTGTGCACTATCCCAGAACGGAAGTGAGCCATGAAGAAAAGAACTCCCTAGAGGAGCAGGAGCGGGGACCCTCAGTTCTTCAGTCTCCTCCTCCTCTTCCCTTCTGGTCGTTCTTTCTGCTGTGTGGAGTGGGCAGGACCCCACATGCCCGATCCACAAAACTGGAGATGCTGCCTTACCCGTCTAAGGCAGAGCCCACATCGAGGCTCCACTGAGTTTTAAATGTCATGAATTTAATGTCTGGAGCACTCCATGTGCTCCAAGGATCACGTATTTGGAACACAATATCTGAAGGCCTTCAAGTGTTTTAATCTGCATTGTGAACTGGAAAATGCCCAATGTTTATCTCTTTTCCAATTATTTTGAATGAGTCAGTTTTGCTCTAATAAGAAAAAGAATCCCACACAATCAAATCATTAAAAGAAGTAATTAGCACTTGCCTTCTGCATTAGAGCTTTCAGAAGTCTCAAAGCATCAATCATTAGACTTTCCAACGAGGAGCAGGCCCTGGCTAAAACCCCGGGCGAACAGGCGTTCACACCATGGTCTGTGAGGGGAGCGTTTACTCACTGAGGGCCTCCTCACAAACGGCTCTCAGACCCAGCAACCGTCTCTTACTCTACAAGTAGTTATTCATCTTGACCTCCCACCTTGTTACTCAGATTGGACCCCAAATGATTTAAGGTAACTGAAAAAATAGAATTCACCCTATGAGTTGAGTTTATTGAAAATAATGAGCTGCAGTGTGGGAGGAATGAAGCACCCAGATGTTGGAAGCAATGACAATACCACTCGGATAACCCCGCGCCCTGCTCTGGACATCTGCAACCGATTCACCGACAGGAAGGTGGAGTCTGGAGCCCCTTCTCTGTGCACACGCTCCTTACACTCGGTAACCTCCAAGGAACAACACGCTTCTCCCCTTCTCATAGGCGGGGTGCACACCTCGAGACGGCTCTTGGTGTCAGAGCTGAGCGAGGCCCCACTGCCACCCCCACTGCCCCGTCAGCCAACAGACACATCTGGGCCTTGGTCTTTCAGTCTGCACACAGTGCTCTGACTCTCTCCTCATGTTCTCCTCCCTCCCTCCCTGGGCAGACTTCAAAGAATCCCTCCTTTCCCGAACCCTGACATTTTGCTTCTGGAAGTACTGGCAGGGCCATCCTTAGGGGCTTCCAAAGTCTACAGAGTAACCACGATAATATGGAAGGAACTGTGATTCAACCAAGCCCACCCGGTGTTGGACCCGGCCCTGGCCTGCAGAGGACAAATGATGAATAACTTCAAAAAGGCCTGCACTGCAACTAAGTGAGCTACTCCTCCGGCCAGTCCCTTTCCATTTCCGTGTTTCCCACGCTGAGGGGGACCGGAAGTCCTTCCGAAAGTTTCTCCTCTTGCAGGCTCACAGTCCTGCGCTCACCACGGACGGCCACCCGCCCAAGGGACAGGGCTGCATGCCTGGGCCTCCGTGTGACACGCGTTCCTGCCTGTGCCTCCCGGAGAGCCCTCTGCCAAGGCTGTGCCGAGGCGCTGTGCATGCGTTCGGGTTAAGCTGGAGACCCAGCGAGTGCACCGAACTAGCCCCGAACCCCAGGCCTGGCCTGAGGCCAGCGGGACGTGTGCTTGCCAGGTCGCCAGGGAAATATCCACGCCTCTCACCACAGCCCACGCTTTCCACCAGGGAATTCTGGCCTGAGAGCCCTGGCGAGAGCAAGTCTTTCAGCTCAGAACAGTCAGGCCTGGGTCAAGTATGGGACAGTCAAACATGAACCCCTAATATTAAATGAGGCGTTTCTTGCTCTCTTTAGAAATACAGGCAGCCCCACCGACTGGACAGAGCAGCAGCCCGGATGAGTGCTGGGATCTTGCGCTGCTGCAGCGCAGGCTGCAGCGCAGGCTGCAGGAGACCACGGGCCCTTCACGTGGCTCTGTTTGCATTTACTCGGCTGCAGTGCTGGGGACCTGGCGATGCTGAGCCAGCCCCAGGTCTTTCCAAAGGAGACCCCGGTGTTCCTGCTGAGATCAGACTGTGGTGACAGTAGCAGGGGCGGGGCTCGGGGGAGCTGCTCAGTCCCTAGCAGGGCAGAAGGCTTTCACTGGGGCCCGAGGGCCTGCTCTTTCCAGACTGGACTGGTTAGGCCGGGAACAAAGCCCCCTTCTGCTGCTTTGACTGTGCTGGGAAGCAGCCTAAGGCCAGTGAGGCCGCTGGACCCTGGAGTCCTACCCTCCTGGACTGAGAGTCAAAACACACTTCTTCTCCTCAGAGATTAGCCAGTCTCAAGTATTCTGTTACAGCAACAGAAAACCGACAGAGACACGGACACATCGGACATGAGAGGCAGGGGCCAGGGGAATGGCCGCGTCCTCGTCCTTTCTTGGGACTCTGGGGGCTCCCCTGCTCGAGGTCAGAACCCGGAGCTGCTGGGAGGTCCCGGAAACACCTTCTGGCTGCTTGGGGTGAGGAGGGGTGGAGGAGGCGGGGGTAGATCTTCACTATCACGGGAGCTCACTCAGCCGTCCCTGCCTCGCGGTCCCTGAGAGAAGGGTGCCCCTTCGCACAGGCTTCTCCCCAGCGAGAGAGCAGACGCTTGGCTTCCCAAAGGCCCCGTGCGCTTTGTAAGTGGCACTGAGAGTTTTGTCCTTAAATAACAGAAGAGTTGTGTCGTTCACAGCGCGTTTCGCAGACTTTCCCAAACGGGGACAATCTGAAGCAGATCATTTGGACAGTTACAGCATCGCGGTTTTTATCGATCCTGTGGTGAAAGGAAGGAGTTGCGCCCTAGTTGGGGTTCGAATTTGTTATTTTAGATCCCAGGAAAGATGAAAGGAACTTGTAGATGTGTTTTTGTGAGCATCAAACATGCTCTGAAAGGACGTGCGTGGAAGACTCCCTGTCCTGTCTTAGTTCTTACACTTTTCATCTGCAAACGAGGTGACACGGCCGCAGGAGCACTGGGAAGACACTGCTGCCAAGTGCCTGGGGCCATGCAGGGACAAAGGCACTCAGTGGCCCTTCCTGTGGAAAACTGGACAGTCACAATCCCAGCAGGAAAGCGCACTGCCAGGAGGTTCAGGAGGGGGAGCCGCACGCCTTAGGGAACAGCTTAAATAGCTGCGACAGGAAATCTGTGAATTCCACGCTCCATTTTTTAGGATCCAATTTTAAAGTGAAAATGTAATTGAAACACGCTATGTGAAGAGTATGGGAATCGAGCTGGGTGAGAAGCACCTGTAGTTCCAGTTACTTGGGGAGGCTGAGGCAGGAAGATTGCGTGAGCCCTGATTTGAACACAAGAATACGTGAATTGAGAAAATTAATGTGGAAGGTGAAAGCTTTCTAATACGGGTGTCGAGCTAGAATCTTGTCCCCGTGTCATGTTGTCCAAAGCCTCTCAGCTGCTAAAACACCGATATGACTGTGGCGGAGTAGCCACGTGCACCAGGCAGGGACAGAGACAGGTTCTGTTCACCACAGGTCCTGGAAGCTGCTGGACCTAAGTCCTTCCTCAGGTAAAGGAAGCAGCACGAGGTTGAAATGTCCTCTAATTTAATATATTAAACCAGGGAAGAAAGGTAAAGCCCAAATAAGTGTATGAAGAATATTTATATATTTTTTGGTACCGGGAACAAACTTGGGACCCTGTGCTGGCAAGGCAGGTGGTGGAACCACTGAGCTAAATCCCCGGCCCACACACAGTGCTGACTCTCAGTGGAACCATTCACTGCTCTAGCCTGGCAGAGACCCCCAGGGCTGGGTGCAGCTCTGTGGAACCACATGCACAAGGCCCTGGGTTAGGTCCCTAGCACGGCAAACACAGCAGAACATCTAAATCCGATTCAGAAAAGCCTTCACCTCACTTCCACTACAGTAAACAAAACACAGACTCTAACCCCAAAGCTACAGATCCTACGTTTAAATTAATCTTCATTCCCTGCGCACTTACTTTACGCAGTCATGAAATGGCTCACGAGTCTGGTTTGAATCAGTTTGTCTCTGAGAGAAAAAAAGCCCAGACTTCAGCTGCCATCAGTAGACAACAGAAGACTCTGATATCGACAGAAATGGGAAGTCCAAAGAAGCGAAGCCAGCGAAATCTGCTCGTTTGTTTGTTTCTTCTCCAGGACTGGCTCCCGGTGGCCTGGGGAGGTGAGCGGGTGCCCGGGTGGCGGCAGTTCACCCTCAGATGCCTCCCTCCCATCGGTGACCATCACCGCACAACTCCAGCTGTGGTCAGACCTGCGCTTTCCCTCCAGGCCCCTCCTGCTCTTTCTCTCCCTCCGGGCCGCCTTACCTCTCTTTAATCGACATGGTTTTGCCAGGCGAGTCCGCGGCGCCCTCTCCCGGTGGCACTTTGATCTCTCCAGCAGCAAACGCGGTGCAGGGGCTCTCTGAGCGCTTCTCTGCTGGCTGCTCCGAGGGACCCTGCTGCTTCCCAGAAGCCGAGGCAGCCCCTGGAGCGCTGGGCTTCCCGGTGGAGAAGGCCGTGCCAGTCTGCTCAGAAGTGGGCTCCCCGAACTGGGCTGCTGGGAAGGAGACACGGGCTCAGCGCCCTGCTATAGCAGCTCCCCGGGACACAGGACACCAGCGGTCACTACACACCAGGGGACGTCTACTTCTCCAAAACAACACTTCATGTTTCAAGTGTGCTACACTCACAAGCCCAAATCCCTATCCCAACTTGCACCTCTGCATCAAATGGAGAGGAGTCTGGCTGAGTACTCTGAGTACAGGGGCATGGAAAGAAAGAGTGTCCAGGCCCATCACCCCAGGCACTTGGGAGGCTGAGACAGGAGGATCTCAAGTCAGAGGTGAGTCTGGGTAATTTAGCAAGAGCCTGTCTCAAAATAAAACAACAACAAAAAGAGCAGCCTATAAACTAAAGACTGACCCAAGTCCTCACTCCCTGTGTGCACCCGACCCTGCACCTTCTCAGCTACCGACTGTGAGAGCAGTCACAGAGCCCACATCACCAGCCATCACAGCTCTTACTAACACAGGTAAAAGGGGTGCAGTCATTTTTACCGCATCCGCTGTGCACCTCAGATTCAGGGGAAGGGTGCTGCCCTATCTCAGAGGATAACATGATTCCCGTTGCACCCTGACCTCCTGGCCTAGACTGCCTTGATAACACGGGCCACAGACCAAGCCGGGAGGAAACTCCCTATTGTTTTCTGAAACTTTCGACTCACTGGCTCTTTACCTCTGAGGGAAAACCTCCTTTTAGGGGTGATCTCCGTGTCCCCCTCGTCTTCAAAGGCTGGCCTGTCCTCGGTGCCCGGGCTTCCTTGGGTGCTGCCTTTCCTAGTGGGAGTCTCCTTCAGACCGTCACCAAGCGGGGTGTCAAGGGCAGCCAGCTCCAGGCTTCCCTTCCGCAGAACTGTGTATCTGGGCTCCTGGTGGCTGTCTTCCTCCAGGCCTCTGTCCCCCGCTGGCAGGGCGCCCTTGCCTTCCGTCCCTGCGCATTCTCTCGACATTCCTCTGCCCCCACTGCCCTCCACCAAAGGCTGCCAGGCCTGTGACTTGAGAATGCTTCTAACCAGAGAGTCTGCACTTTCTGCCGCAGAGGGGAACTTGGAGTCAGTGGTGGGTGGCTTTGCCTTGAGCTCCCCTGCATACATGGGGGCGGCCGTGGCGGCCGCGGTAGACATGGAGGTGTTCACGGTGGGGGAGAAGGGGATGAGCTTGCCGCTTTGCACCTGGAGGACACAGATCAAAGTGAGCACTGACTGAACCCCTCCACGAGCCCTGGGTCGGGGCTGGCAGGCTGTGATACTGCCTTCCACACAGTTATCGGCCTAGAAAACTGTCCTGGAGGGTTACAGAACACACTTCCGATGAAACCCTCTGGCTGAAAAGTAAGTTGTACTCGTTACTTTTTCCATCCAAAATGGCCTCATTCCAGATGATTTTTACAAGCAAGTTATGCAAACAAGAGAAAAGAAAAGCATTTTGCCCTGGATGTAGCTCAGTGGTGCTGCTGCCTGCCTCGCAAGCACAAGGTCCTGAGTTTGATCCCCAGTACCCACCCAAAAAAGAAAGAAAGAAACACACTTAGTGGAGTTACCTTCCTTGGGGATGGAGTGATTCCCCAGTCACCCTTCGAGGTCCCCTTCCTTACAGCATTAACTCAAGAGCAGTGCGTGCTGCACACCCAAGCCAGGGAGGACCTGGCACCCACCTGCTCCACCTCGCCAAGCGTGACGGGCTGGGTCTGGTAGCGGGCATTTGTTCTTCTCTGTCTCAAGTCGATTCGGTTTCGGGTGGAAATAGCCTTGGAGACAGGCTGGGACAATTTGTTAAACAAGGCCAACTTCTCTGCTAAGCTCAGAGTGGAGGAATCAGGTTCGCCTGGTTCAGCGGAATCTGTGCCCTCATTTGCCTGGTCCCTGGCTAGAGCTTTTTGGTGAGCAGAAGCCTGCAATCTGAAAGGAAAGGAACGAAGAGTCAGTGACACAGACAGCAACAAAACCCACTGTGAACTTCCCCCATTAACTTCTTCCAAGCGTCACTTAAATTTGCAATGGGCTTATTTTTCCCCAGGAAAATTAGGAGGAGGCAGGCAATTACTTAGCTATTAGACAAGAGCTATTAGACTGAAGAGCAGAGGCAGTTTGGAACATTGTGGTTATCAGTTTTAGGACAAGCAGAGTCTTAGCTCTACATTACTTCTAAAAAGCAAATTTCCTATGTAAGCAGCCAAAGTTGGCTTGGACCTATTTTACCTAAGAGATGCCATATTTTCAGTACCACAATAAGGCTGAAGGGGGTTGTAAGGCATTACTAGGGCATACAGTTCTTTAAAGATGTGTTTCAGGAGTAAACAACTAAGAAACATAGCCATCTGTGAATAGCATAATCTGAAACACAGGCTTGATTCGCAGTTCCCAAATGTTGTAATTCTGAAAATTCTTTCAGTATAGCATTTTTTCCTACTAGGTTCCTATCAGTCTTTTAAAAGGTACTTAAGTTGAATTCCCAGTAATTTGAAAAGTGAATAAAGTTTCAGGTGATTATAAATCCTACCCACTAAGGCTGGGGGTTGCTCAGTGGCAGAGTTCTTATCTAGCAGGTGTGAGGCCCTGCTAGATGCCTAGCTCTACAAACAATAACAATAATAACAACAATAATGGTAATGATAAGAAATGCCTCCAGTTTCCACCTGGAAGAGAAGGAAAGCTCCCAATTTATGTGGCCACTGTAAATTGTCAAAGGTTTCTAAGATAAAATTCCTTCTGCCCCTGACACATCTCATTTCAAACCTAGTAGAAAGTATATTCTGCCTTCACTCCACTTACTCACAGGGTCACGGGCTGCCCCAGAGCAGGGGGAGGCCAGGTATTTGGCGAAGGCTGTGGGAACGGCCACCGAGGCCCCAGGCTTTCTAGAGTCCAGTGCCTCACACTGGGGGGACAACAGCCAGCCTCCCTGGAAGATTCCTGCTTCTGGGTTAGGCGCTGCCATTTCAATTCTTTGAATCTTATTTTCAGCCTTTATGTTTGGACACGTAACAGTAAGGGGATGTTTACATGTTTTGAGGACAGAATTTTAAAATAACCACATTTAAAACATCTCTGATCAGACACTATGATTAGTTTTCTCAATCCTAAAATATAACAGCATTGTCACTGTACAAATTAGAAACGAGGATTTTAAAAAAAATACGTATTAGTGTCTAATATGTTAAAAAAAAAAAAACCCTGAGTCTTATCAGAATTTCATTTATAAGTTAATGCCCATGTTTCTAGTCATCTGTAAGTGCTAGAATTTTAGATGAAAAATTCTTTTAGGGATGATTGTGATTATGGAAAACAGAAACAGAACAAATGGACAAGTGAGTCGGTGGGATGCAGTGCCCACACAGGACGTAACAGGCGGGGTGGAGGTCTTCTCATGCAGACCCACACCACGCTCTCCGTACCTTGCGCTACGACAGAACAAAATGCCACGTGTCCTGGGAACAACTCACTGCACTGACTTGGTGATCACACACACAAAATGCTGTCAGGGCTTTCAGAGGCACCTGCTGCCCAGCAGCTGCATTGGGGCTGCATGCAGCTGTTTCTGTCCGGTACCTGGCAGGCTGCACACAGCTCCTAGCTACAGTGGGCCTGGGAAGTCTCGCCGTTCCAGGGTGGGCGGCCCCAGAACACGAAGCAGGGATAGGTTCACTTTAAAAGCAATTGCCAAAGAAGGAACATCCATAAGGAGAGAGAAGAAAAGAAACATTAAGGACAGCATACATTCACCAGCGTTAAATTAAATCTTTTGCTAACATTATTTGCTAATCACGTTGGGGCAAAACAAAAATCACAAAATAACTTGAAAAGCAACTTAAGAGTAAGAGACAGAGTATACTGACTGAGATAATTGTCCTGTGTTTATTGTTTTGCTACCTCAGGTATGTGCTTCTTATACCAGCCTCAAAAATTTTTTTTTAAACAAATCAATTTGCTGAGAGTTCCTCATCATAAGTCACAAGAATATGCTCATCTAGAAAAACGAAACAATTGAGGCTGGGGATGCAGCTCAGGGTAGCACTCACCTGGCATGTACAAGACTTTGGGGTCCTCCCCTAGCGCTGGAAAAACACCACCACCAATGTGAAACAGAGACAACCGTGGAGAAAGCGAAGAACCACCTGACTCCGGTCCACAGGGTGGGTGGACCTCAACAGAGAGGCCTGTCAGGTGCTGACATCCACAAAAACACTTGAAAAAGCTAATATGAATGTTCACTTGATGGAAGCTGTTATCTTAGAATGAATTCCTGTACCTTGGGAAAATCATTCTGAACACACTGGAGTGTAATGCTCCAATTGATGTCCTACAGTCTGGAAAGCCATCAAACTGCAGTTCATTTTTAAGTGGTTTTGTGTGTGTGTGTGTGTGTGTGTGTGTGTGTGTGTGTGTGTGTGTGAGTGTGCGTGTGTGTGATTATTTAAAAACAAAATAAATGTTTTTCGTTGAGATATGTTCTGAAGTATTTACGGGTGAGACGATTGTCTGGGGTTTGCATGAGAATAATGTGAGCGGAAAGTGGAAGTAGACGGGGAAGAGAAACGGGCAGGTGTGGTAACCTGAAGCTGGGGGTTCGTTCTGTTTCATCTGTTTTCATAGTTCCTATTTTTCATCATGAAAATAGAAACAGCCAAAGTGCATGGATGGCAACAAATAAAATTCCTTAATATTTCCCAGGAGTTACAATGGGTAATGTCCTACGACAAAGCTTAGAGAGTGCAGTGGGGAAAATCCTGACATCCCAACTTCTCTGTAGCTTCCAGCTCTAATAACTCTTTAAATCCTCTTGCTAAAGCATGTGGAGGCTGCCTGAGAGGCTGGGACCCGCAGGGACTCACGAGGCTGCGATGACCACTTCCTCCGTGGTGACGGGCTGCGTGTGGGACCGGTCCTGCAGGCGCCGCAGCCTCTGCTCCACTGCGGCATTTCTCGAGCGTCTCTTTGGGACATTCTGCTCGTCGAAAGATTTCTCCATCTCCTAGGAACAGAAACACAGTGGAGCGCTCATAATGCTGCAGGAGGCTGAGGCAGTAAAATGTCACTCTTCTACAGGGTCCCTCGGAGGGAATGCCGGGGAGACCCACCCTGGTCCGAAGTGAGCTCCAGGGCTGGGTGTGCCACGGCACCTGCTGCCCTTCCCCTCAGAAGCACCCCAAAGACCCGGGGCGGAAGCCTCCGGCCCCAGCTTGCTGGTCCACAGTGAGGGAACAGCAGGTGGGCCAGGTGAGAGGTCTCAGGGTTCTGAGGGGCACCGAGTGGCCTGAGCCCCAGAGGCCCTGTTCATAGGGGCTGTGATTTCCAGCCAGACCCTCTGCACCCCTTACCCTGAATAGCAGCCTCTTGGCGGCGACACTCAGCTTGGCTCGTTCATCTACGTTTTCTTCATCTGTAAAAAGCCAATAGGTCAAAACTGAGCCTCCTGAGAAAACAGAAGCAGCATCTCTGGAACATTTTCCAAGACTGACCCAGAAATCCCTTGCATACAGGGATAGATGAGCTAAATCAACAAGTGGGCATGTTTCCCTCTCAGCTCAGAGGTACTGATTCCTCCTGCAAATCAAATCAAACCATGTCCGACAGTGATTTGACTAATGGTGATCTAAGGTCAGATTTATGGAAGGAATTCTTCTTACTGCCGAATAGCAGCAGTAACAAGAAAAGCCCACTTATTTGATTCAAATCACTTAGTATTTTATTGTTCATTTCACCATTGTCTTAACTCCTCTCAAAAATAAGAGTAAATGCATCAGAAAATTTCAACTCGGTTTTATTACAGTCACAGCAAAAAACACTCGTAGAAAAGCATGAAACTGCCCAATTCTACAATCTTATTCTTTCAAGAAGCCAAGAATTTTATTACTTAAATCTAACTTAGACGCAATGAAAGAGAAGTAAACGGAAAAGAGATACTTGCCCTCAATGGCTGGCATTTCTGAACTCGAAGCGTATCTAGGAAAGACATTAGCAGATAGTAAACAATTAGTGGTGGGAGTAGGAGACTTGCGTACAGCCTCACAGCCAGAGGAGAAAGAGGGCCATAGGTACGCTCCTGCGGAACGCCCTCTCCGTAGCTGTTCCAGCTGAGAAGACCCATGTGCAGTTGTGAACAAACACGTGGGGTGTGCACGCACACAATCCCAGGCAAGTGCATACCTCAGGGAGAGAAGCCGCCATCGAGCTATTACTAAATGGGACTGAAGTACATTGTTTGACAAACCTCATCATGTCTATTATATAATATAAAAACTCAAATACAAGTGGACACTCATGACAAAATGAATATAAAATGCCTTACTTATTTTCATAGAAAATATAGTGAACACTCAGTTCAGATTTCACAAGACTGGAAAGAAATTAACATTAAAGAAAAATATTTCTTACTTCTCACCATTTGAATGCAACGTAAGACTACTGTACTAGGGTCCTGCTGGAAAGGTCAAATTCTGTAAACACAAATTTAGATAAGCTAAATATTATCCCTTACATTATGGAATCACCAACATCCTAGTGAGTAGTGTCAGATCCATTAGGGTGGTAAAAATCTTGTATTTCTTCTACCTCCCTGGACTGTGACATTCGGTGCACACGCCTACCTATCTGACTCCTTCCGTTCTGCTGAGGTTATAGGTTGAGTTCTAAATCGCTCAGAAGTTTTCCTATTTTCACCAGGAGAAAAATAGCGCCTTGGTTTCCGGGCCCCTCTCTCCTGCTCCATACCGGTGGGCAAGCCAGCTGTTCCAGGCGACCACTCAGCCCGTGATTGGCTTTTAGATCAGAGTGCAGAGGGTGAGCACAGGGGGAACAGGAAGATGGGGAGAGAGAAGACAGCAGAGGTTTTTATGCATCTGAGGACAGGTGACCGATCCCACTGCACGCCTGTACCATGCACGGGTGAGGCGGAGCACCCCAGCCCAGCTCCCAGCTCCCCATTAGTAGGCAGAAGCAGGAAGGCAGGTGCTGAGCCATTTCCTCTACAGTCTACCCTGCACACGCTAGTGAGCTAAGCTAATGAGTTTAATGCCAACACAACACACGCCGAGAAGTGAATCACCGTGCCAAGGACGTGCAAGTGCGACACCAGGAATGTGCCAAAGGTCACCTACAGTTCGGGTTTCCTGCCGGCTCTGGCAGACTCCAGAAACACACTTCGGAGTCGGGCGACGGAGACCCTGGTGTCCAGCACGCCGGGCTCCGTGCAGGGCCCTTCGGCCTTGGACGCCTGCAGCTCCAGGTCGGCGGAGTCCGGACCCCTCGAGGCCTGGAGCTGAGGGGGCCCGGTGTAGTCAGACAGCGAGCGGGTGCGGACCTTGTGCTTCTGTGGAGTGGCTTCCTTTCTGGGGTCCCTTGACGTGGCCTCTCGGGACACAGGCTCGCTCTGAACGTACAGAACCACTTCGCTGCGGCCCGTCCTCTCGGCGGGCTGGTGCTGAGCCGGTGGCTCCTTCGGAGCTTCTAAGGTGGTGGTGGCCGTGCCTAGGTCCTCACTCCCAGAGCGGTCTTCCTGGCCTCTCTCGAGCCCCTCATCCTCCAAGGTCACCGGGGCTTGTGGGCTTTTCTCAAGAGCGTCAGGAAAGGGCACTTCTTCTGCCTTGGGTTCACAGATGTGGAGGGCTGGGGCGTCCCTCCTCTCACCTTCTGGAACCTTCGGGGCGGGAGGCTTTATGATATTCGAGGTGGCCGGGCCCACCCAGCTGCCCTCGGACACACTTTCTGGGGTCTCCGCCGTCAGCAGCTTGACAACGGGGACGGGATCTGCTGGCTGGACACAGGCGCGGCTGGCCTGCCGCACGGAGCCGCCTGCCCTGCGTGGGACCCTATCGAAGGCCGAGCTCTCTGACTGAAAGGACAGGCAGTGGACTGCCTGGTGTCTCTGAGGGAAGGAGGCGGAGGCAGGTTCAGGGCTGCTGCGAGCACTCTCCTCTTTCACCAGTTTCTCTCTAACTTTAACTCTTTAAGAAAGAGAAAGGATTTACATTGCAATATACAGTAACTGCTAAACATGTAGGGAGCATGCGCAGATCCCAGATTCGCAGTGAAGGGAAATCTCACAGGGAACAAGATGCCGGAAGGTGTACGGCGTTTCATGGAGAAACCCAGCACTGTGCCACAGAAACAGTTTAAGTTTCGAAATTTGCTTCTGGGGCCAGTGCGGGGGCCACAGTACGGACCGTGCCTCATTGTGCCCAGGTTGAGCCCAGAGGGGTAGGGCAATATCCCGAGGAGGATGGGTTCCCTCTGGCTAATTAAACGCCTAGCAGCCACAGAACCGTCTACCCTATGCACTGTGGTATGCGTCAGGACACAGAGAAGCTTCCTGCACCTTCTGGTGCAGCGCTGCATGGACAGGTGTGGGCGAGTTTCCAGGGAAACACTGAGATGTCACTGCCTTCCGGAAATGGAAGTTCACTTGTGATTATTTATGTTTTCCATCGCTCCCAGGCTATGAGAGTCATCTCTCTTTTAAAGCACTCAATGAAACATTGGCAAACTTCATGCAGTGCAGGCCACACCTCCCATTCCCAGGACACGGACCAGTCTGGACATCATTACTAACAACCGTGGCAGCAAAGGGTGTTAGAGAAAAGAGAAAAGTTATTTGTTGAGAGAATTAATGAAGTGAACATTTCCTCACCTCTGGAATTAGTGCCACACCCTTAGTTAAAAATTAACCTAAAAAGAGATGCCTCTTGTTTGTAGTTATCTAAATATCTGAGAGCAAAAATGAAAACCATTTCAAAAGGGGCCACAGGCCCCTTCCCCCTCTCTCACCCCAGAACCCTAAGAGCCTTGGGCAATTTATCTGGCCCCTTTAAGCCTCAGCTGCTTCGCCTTCTATAGGGAAGGAAGCACGGCGGGGCACAGCTCAGTGGCAGAACACCTGCCCCCGTGCAAGGGCCCGAGCTAGACTCCAGCACTGCATTGTGGGAGGGGAGGCAACAGAGCCGTGGTGTGACATCTTGCAAAGCTCATGGCTTAGCGCTCAGCAGGCAGTCAGCATGGAATGGTGCTAGCTCCTTCTTACGTTTACTTTTGGAAATACTGTGCAGTAAGAAAGGAGAAGCCACTCAAACTGCAGATGTATGGCTGAGTGGGTGTGACCTATAGGAAGGACAGAGGCATTTGGGATGGGAGAAGTGATCTCTTGGGGGAAATGTAGAACGCTCGCATGGATCAGCAAAAGTAACAGTTTACGGTGCACATCTTATGGAAAGGAACAGTCGGTTGAAGGACAAGTGCATCCCACTACAGTGGATAAAGATGCCTCTGTCTTTAAGTATTAGGGCATTTGAGTAGATTCATTAAAGCAAACACGAAGACTCACATAAAAGCAGCTCCTATGAACAACTTTTGGGGAAAACCACTCTGGGTTGTCTTTTTCCCCCCAGAGATTATCTAGTGTTGGAGGGTTTCATACGTACAACCTTTCTTAATTACCAGAGCACTGAAATGTGAGCGTGCTCCGTGGGTGCTGGGATGCGAGCCTCGGATCAGTCTGAATGTCGTCCTCAGCAGAGAACAAAGTCAGTTTGAGGAACTCGAGTGTTCTGTGCCCCCAGGGACTTTCATTCCTACTTCTTCCGCCTCTCCCCGCCCCCAGGCTTAAAATGAAATGATAGGGGCTTTTGTCTGTTGTCAAACCCACACGCCCTACGTTTAACTGCTGAAAACTACTGGCTTAGAGACAAGGAGGCACAAAAACAAGGAGACCAAGTGCTGAACGGAGAGGGCGCTAGCAAGAGGGGACACTGGTCAATGTCTTGAGGATTGACAGCCAAGAGGGCTGGCGAGGGGCTCACTACTGCCCCCTACTGCCTACTTCTAGCAAGCAGGTGAGAAAGTGCAGTAAAGGATTATCAGAGGGAGGGAGGAAGGAGTAGTGCGATCAGCACCGATTAGAGTAAGGGGAAAGAAAAGCAAATGAAGGCAACTTCATCTTAAACGCAGGATTTCCAAAGGGACCGTCTTTGGCAGCCAAGAAGAGACAGGATTAGCAAATGTGTGGAACAGCAAGGCAAGTCAGAGGGAAGTGGTAACACACCCATTGAACACAGCCACAGCGACTCCTTGAGAGGTACCTGGAGGGCCAGTTGATAAGTGAAGGCGTGTCTCCTTCCGAGTCTTTCTGGAGAAACCACTCGTGCTGGACTTTCCCTGCACTGACACGTACAGATGAGACAACCTCAGAGAGCGTCTTTAAAACGTCCGCATCCACACATGCTTTACTGAAACTATCAACCGCAAGGTTTTTAAATAATTACCCTAGCTTATGAAAATACATAAATGTGTTTTTCCATGATTCATATTTGTTTTGTGAAATTTCCACAATACTTGGCTCGGTACAGACATGAAGAAGTAGAAATAAATACACCTAAGGCCACCAAAGTGTTTTTCAAGTCATTTTAAATTGTTAAAAAGGGGTCTACTGTAGTCCGGCTCTGCCAACAAACGTAGGCAATTACTGTGCAAGAACCTAGAACAAAGATGGAAGGGAACTTCACGTCTGTAAGCTCTGCTGAGGCACCCAGGGAAGTAGTCAAATATAAAATCAGGGTCCATACATTCCGAATAAAGTAAAAATAAAAAGGAATCCAATGAGATTAACCTGTAGCTGCTATATTTTCCTTTTATCATGGACTAATACAATTATTTCCACAGTTATAAATGTCAATTCGGTCCAATTAGACAAAATTTTACGGAACTCTGATAAACTCTGATAAACAAAACACTGTATTGCCCACGTTGTAACAGGACACAAAGGTAAAAACAGGCATCACCCTGGCCATTACAAATATTTCAAGATGTTACGATAGTAATGATTTACACATTCATCCCCCAACACTCAAGTAATGCAAGGTGGAGTGTGACTAAGTGCTTGTGCCAGGCTGAAGATGTTCTGGAAGAAAGTCACGGGCAAGGAGGACTTTGTGCGGACGGTGGAAGCAGTCACGGCAGGAGCACCGCGAGCTGCACCCTCTCGCCACGCAGAAGGAGAAAGCAGAGACTGAGCTTAACTGTTTACGGGCTTGATATGGTACATCTGCAAGTGTTTCAACACCACACTGCAGACACACTAGAGTTCCAGGCAGTTTCCACAACAGAGCAGAATGAGAACTGTAATTCCTTTAATTTACTCTTCTAAAATCATTTTGGCCCAAGCTGACGAGTGAGAGCCTGGCACCACCACTGTGCACCTTGCCGCACACTGAACTCTGTTCTAGTCTCCACTGGGACTTATCTGGTTCTTCTCGGGGCAGAAGCAGGATGAATCCATGAAGTAATCAGTTTCTTCCAGTCTCTCTCCATGCTGATCTCAGTGCCGAAAGCCTGAACGCCGGACTCTCAGCTGAGACAGGAGGATGGCAGAGAATCTTCAGAAAAGGGGTGGGGCCTGTGGGAGGGGCTACTCTAGGCTTTACTAAGTGGACTAAGCTTCTGGCTATCGGCTGGACGTGGATTTCAGTGTTTCCTGCCTGGATTTGAGCCCCTCCTGGGATGGAGAAATCCAGAGAAATGGACAGCTGGTGCTGCTGGAAGTGACTCTCAAAGCCCCTGTTTTAGAGCCTGCAGCTTTACTGGTCACTCTCAGGATGGAACTCTCAGGAGGCAGAGGCGAGTGGAAGGATAATGGGTCACTGGAGGTGCGGCCTTAGAGTACTTATTGGAGCCCTGGCCCCTCCTCTTCCTGTCCTTCACTTCCTGGTTGCTATGCTGAGCAGCTTCCCCTGGAATGTGCTCCTACAGTGTCTTATTGCTTTGCTATGGGCACAAAGGCAACAGGTCTAGGCAACTCTGGTCTGAAGCCTTTGAGACTATGAGTCTGAATAAAAACTTCCTCCTTAGAAGTTATGATCTCAGGTGTTCTGTTACAACAACGGAAAGCTAACACATGGTTTTAGTCAGGGGATGAGCCTAGACCCAGCCTTTCGGGGATGAAGGCTGAGTTCACAAAGGCCCCAAAGCAGCCAATGAATTTATGCTCACTTCTCACAGTTTAGTATTTGTGAGAACAAAGATTTAAAGCCATACACAGGAATTCTACTGCAGGCAATCTAGAAAGAGCCTTGAATGATAAACAAGTGTTACTCAGTGTGTTCTGCGGACTGGTATTACTGCTATGATTAGACATGAGGCTTGCACAGAATGAAAATTAACTTTGGCAGGCCCACTGTTTAATTCAGCTGACATTTCGTTCGTCGTTGACTTTTTTTTGATGGAGAAATGGTCCCAGATTTACGTTCAGGCAAACAGTGCCAGATTCTTTGCAGAGCAGCTATTTCAAGAAAGCACTGCTCTCATTTGGTGATTATTAAAAACAAAACAAAAAAAACCCCAGAAAAACAGCAAAAGATTTATTCAAAAATGATTTATTGGGCTAGAAATATAGCTCAGGGCTAGAGTACTCTCCTGCAAGTGTGAGGTCCTGGGTTCAATCCCCAGCTCTGCAAATAAGACCCAAACACAAACCCAAATTGATTTGTCGAGTGACTTGATACATGAGAATAAGATAGGAAAGTGACTTAGACAAGGTATCTAACCTTAAAACTACTAAAGTAATGCTATCGTTGAAATCATCTTCGCCAATGTTAAAGACTGGCACAATACCAAATTCATGGTGCTGTGCGTGTTTGAGAAATCTCGATTAAAACCACTAACCTCCTCTTCTGGATGTGGCCACCTTGCTAGAGTACTGGTTCTTCGAATCCTTCTTCCTAAGGCTTCAGGTGTAAGTGAAGAAGCTGAGGGTGTGACTGACACAGCTCACTGGATTCTTCCTCTCTTTTTCACTCCCTTTTTACGGTACTGGGGACAGAATTCAGGGATGCTCTACCACTGAGCCACATCCCCAGTCCTTTTGATTGATTTATTTATTTTTAAAGTTTCCAGATAGGGTCTCACTACATTGTTAAATTTCCCAGGCTGGGGTTGAGCTTGGTGATCCTCCTGCCTCAGCTGTTCAGAGTGCTTGGATTCTAGCATAGGCTCCACACTCAGCGTTTCCTCCTCTTTGTCTTCCTGAAGAACCATCAACCACAAGTCACACTGACAGCATTAGGGCTTCCCAGTGTTACGTCTGGCTTGGGCAGCTAGTATTTCTGGGGAAATGACAGCCTGGTAATGAGACAAAAAGGCTAGCTTGAATGAATAAGCGCCGGAGTAAATGTAAGAGGCACCAAAAGGAATCGCAGGGCTATAAGGATAGAGCTGGGGAGGTTGAGACAGCATGGCATGGGAGGAGAATCCCCTCTGGACAGACCGCACTGCCACTGTCCTGTTGGAATGTGATATCCAGGTGCAATGAGGGCCAGCACAACAAAGGCGGCCATTCCTTTCCCGTGCTACGAAGGCTCACTTTCATTAATGCACCCCACACTGAGCTGGTAACTTGGGCAGTCACCTAAAGCACTTGCTGCCAACCATAACTTCTAGGTTGGTTTCCCAAGAAATTGGGTTTCCTGAACTTTAACACTGACTTTTTTCCCATCTAAGTACGATACTTTCTTAAATTTCATCTTGTTAGTTCCCAACTGCTAGGGTTTAGAAGAAGGTCCCCCGCAGGTCCATGTGTTAGAAGCTAGGTGCCCAGTGGAATGCCACCGGGAGGTGGTGGTACCTTGAGATGTGGGGGAGAATCCTCAGGTCACCAAGAAGGTACTACTGGGGGGGAGGACACTGAGATTTTGGTCTCTAGTCTCTGTTTCCTGGCTCATGCGTTAAGTTTGCTCTGACAGAGCTTCTGCTATGATGTGTCCAAAGACATGGGGTTACCTGATCTTAAACTGGAAACTCCAGAACAATGAGCCAGAGTAAGCCTTTCCATTTTATAAGTTAACTGCCTCAGGTATTTCATCACAGTAATGACGATGGTGATGGGGAGTTGAATGGCATACCGACTGCTCTTCAGAGCTCTGTCCCTGCCATAGCTCTTCCTTCTCCATTGCTTTCAAGATTCCTGTTGTCAACAATTTACTTATTTATGGTTCTTTCTTGAGACCTCCCAGAAGAGACACCACGTAGGACTGGGTGAATAACCAATGCCTACTTAGACCCATTGGCCTCATGTTTCCAGGCCTGGGGACTGTGACCACCACTCAATCCTGCATCCCTGCCTGCGACTGCTTCTCCTGCAGACCAATTCTCCACACGCCCCAGGAGCAGTATTTCTAAAGACATAATCTAGCAATCTTGCTCGGAAGCCCTGCACATACTTTCCATTGTCCACAGAGCAAAGAGCAAACATCGCTCCATGACTGGTTACCCCCGCCCCTGGCTCTCCAGTCTCCCCACACCAGGTCTTCTCAGGCATCTGTGCCCCTCACGTGCTGCAGCCTCCCCTCCACACCTAGAAAACTCAACCACATCCTTACAGACATGGTTCAACTATGTCCCTTCACTAAGGACCTAGAATTACCATCCCATCCGTAAAGCTTCCATAGTGCCCAACGCTGGCCTCTAGAACCAGAACCACTCCTGGTATTACAGCTACTTCCCACAGTGAAAAATGGTACACTCGGCTAGGAGCCATTGCCTGGCACAAAAGGCTCAATATAACATTCTAGGTTAGCGGAGAACCTCAAGCTGAAATGAACCCACAAGTCACCACTGGTGAGGGCTGGAAAGGCAGATGCCTAACCGTTTCATGCAATCCTAGACTACAGATTCCATTTTGTTTACGAGGACAAAGCTTTTTAGGTCCTAAATCTTGTGAAACTCTGTAATGCCCCTGGTCTGATCTTCTTTCCTGAATTCTCTAAACTTTCAAAGGGCAAAACCAGCAAACTCCTTTTGCCACTATGACGGAAAATAGCACTGACATAGATTACAATAAAAAGGAGTACAGTGGAAGGAACTCTGCATCAGAGAACTGAGCGTATGATGGGTGTTGACTGATGATGTGGGTTTTATGAAAGTAGTTCCGTAACCTCAATCAAGTTACTTTTTTGAGCTTTCATTTTTTAATATATAAAACAGATTCTTGAAATAACCTTCAGGGTAACTTCTGGTTCCCGGAGTCCAAAGTCCCCTAACTGAGAGCACCTGCTCTGTGAGGTCTTGAGGTGAGCCAGCTCCCCCGAAGGCAGGGGTAACCTGGCTAGGACAGGGTTATAGGGCTCCTGGGGACCAGAACAAGGAAGCGGTGGCTTCAGGTGGAACAGAATGGTTTTTGATGTGCCAAGTGCTGGCGGAGCATTCTCTTAAGAGGAAGTAAGGATGCACCACTGATTTTCATAAGAGCCAGCAGTTGTTGCCCCAGGGTGGCACCCACGAATATAATGACAGCCTTTCACTTGCTCTGACTCCCAGGAGTCAACAGGCAAAAATGCACTTCCTACCACCACGGCAAAGTCACATGTAGAGCAGTAAAATTAGCTCCCCCATGTGGGTGTTCAGCTTCCACTACGCAAGGCTTCAGAATACAACACATTATTCAGCTTAAGAAGACTGGCTATTAGCTGCTGCATCTCATTAAAATTAGCAGTTAGTTTACTGCAAGCTGCCTGTTTAGGAAAAAAAAATGCTGCTTTATGTACATGCACAGGGTATGAATGCACAACAGCAGAAGTTGCATTTAACGTCTGGTACACGTTTGAATTTTTAGCTACTGTATGTGGCAGGGTGACATTTTGGGAGACGTATTCATATTTGAGTCAGTGAGCAGCAATTGCCACTTTCTAGTGAGAGCAGAATGAAATTAAAAAGCTGAGCCAGGAGGCTGCAGGCCTGTGCTCTCCTATTCATGTCTTCATTGGGGCCTGACACAGAACCACGCTAGCCTGAGGTGCGGGAGCCGATTTTTGACTCAAACTTCTCATTGGGACTTGGGCAAGCGCTGTCGGAAATAAGCCACAAGCACACAGCCAAGGCCCGTCTCTCCCAGTTCTCAGTCTGCAAGTTACATTGCAGGGGAAGAGTTTCATTCTGGAAGGGACCCGCCACACAGATCCACGTTTCCCTTTTACCCCTGAGTAACGCAGCTGGTGTGACACAGAAAAATTAGCGAGGCTCATTTGGCCAATGCTCGTGGGCTCCTACTCTGCATCATCTTGAGCTAAAAAGGCCCCGAGGGCCATAAAGGGTAACTGGGCATCACTCTGGCCAAAGCCCCTAGGCGAGAGGACCCCTGGTCTACACATTCCTGACGTCCAAACACAGCCCTGCTCAGCAGCATGCGCCAAAGGCAACTGTCCCAAGGTCACCGTCAGCGGCCACGCTGCACCAAAGCCCGCACTCATGTTCTGGCCACCGGTGACACGATTTGCTAAGTGAAAGAAGGTGCGGTGGGGGCTGCAGCAGAGTCAGGAAGAACTAAGAAGCGGGGGTTCTAGAGCTCATCCCACTCTGGAAACAAGGTGTGACTCCTTGCCACTGAGTCCACAGACAGGTGACAGCCGCAGACAGCAGAGGGGGACCCGGGCAGTGAGTTTCTCCACCCACAGAAGTAACAATATGGTGCGCTTCCTGTTTTCCCTGCTTTTTCTAAAGTAACAGTTGCACAAAACAGTGATTTCAATAAGAGTTTGGGGATTCAAGATTTCTAGTAGTAGCAGTTCAGCTTCTTAAGAATTTCAATAATCCTTAGTGGCTGAATTTATAAAGAATGGTTCATCTTGGCAACAGCACCTCTCCAGAGAGCAAGTTCTGAAATTCCATGCTAGAAGATTTGTTAGAAGAGTTGGAGGAGTTAGGTTGGGGGGTTGCCTTAGGCTGCTCTGTTGGGCTACAGTGAATATTCCTAGTTTATTTATTTTTTTAACAATGTGTTCATCTAAATTCCTGCACAACTAGTAAGGGTTCCTGAGCTGAAAACCTCTCAATGTCTATCCAGCAAACATGAATTAAAGTATAAAAATCAATTTATTATATACATGGAATACTAAATAATTCCAAATAAATTCATTATTTCAATTAAATTCAAATATTGCCTTAACAAGTGTTATTTAACCGATAATGATTTAAAAGTAGAAAAGCACAAGGAAATGTAAGAAGTGATAAGTGTACCCACACACAAGTGTGCACGATGTGAGAGGACAGAATGTGCCTCCAAGCTTGGGTATCCACCTGCAGTGTCCCTGAATTCTCAGGTAATCCTCGGACCTATGAGGGGTGTGTTAGTATTTAATTAATGAAAGAAAATGGGTCCTTGCAAGTGAGTGAGCAGGATATAAAATAATAAAACAGAAGTGAGAGAGTTCAGAGATTTAGCAGCAAAATAACTGGTCAGAACTAGGTTATGAGAAAGTACAGAAGCAAGAAAAAGATTCCACTTCTGAGGAGAACAAATCCACAAAAAAATGCAGCATCGAGATTGCTTTGTTATTTTATTGGTAGGCACTGTTCCCCTCACTTCTTAATCATCTTGAACTTTTCTACTACATATTTTCATGCCAGAGACATTAACATTTTCTTCTATGGTTGTTCAGGCCCCCGAGGTTTCTTGTGTTACTGTTTTAAGTTATAAAATAGTTTTTTGTCTTCTCCTCAATTGGAAATCATACGAGAATGACTTTCTGAAATTTGAATTTCCTGGCTCTAGATAAAGGACATCTAAGCAGAATGTTAATCCATTTTAGAGCCATCTTTGCAAGCTGAATCAGTAAGCATCACAAAATACAATTTAAGTTTTAAAACTCCCATACTCATCATGCTTTATTTTCCATCTTCCTTATGTAAATGGGTCCCAGGCATTTTCCTAATGTATCAGACATGATTTGTGTTTCTTTGCCTGTGACTCCTTGGTTGGCTTCATAAAATAAAGCAAGTGTGTTTCTAGAGTTCCTAAACCTTTCCTCTCATTCTTCATGACAGTAAAGCATTGTGAAGCTGAGTGGGTCACCAAAACTTTTAGATAACATAGCTCTTCAGAAACCTGTAGGAAGTGACAGTGAGCTGCTCCTTAGCTAAGCTAACAATGCTTCCCCAAAGTCTGACCACAAACACACACACACACACACACACACACTATACATTTTCAAATCTTAATATGAAGTTATCAGACATCCAATCTCTCTACTTGGAATATGCAACAAAGTTTTCACCGACTCAGACTCTTACTGAGATTCTTTGTATCCATGTAATCTAGGTGACACACATGTGGGGCATGGTAAGGAACCGCTATCGTCATGTGGCAATCTGAAATCAAATGCTTCTTTTTTCCTTCTTAGCCAAAGGTAATCGTATACTTGTTATATTCTTTTTAAACTGGAACCTGTTAGGTTTCTTTGTCCTGCTCACAAAACACATAAAGGATTTCCTTTGATACAGAACCACTAAACCCAAAACACTATTTCTACTGTGAAATGGGAATTTCCCAAACAAGAGACCTCCTTTCAAAATAGGAGACAAAGGCCACAGTCCTTCAGTTTCAAGCTGTCACATCTCACGGAGAAACAAGGGTCCTCAAAATATAGTCTTGCACACTACAGTATTTCATTTACCCAGTCCCAGCCCCTGGTTGCCTCTAAGCAGGATGTTTAAGTAAACTGCTCTTTAAATATGACCAGCGCATTTTTCAATTTAAGTTTGGAAACTTATTCTGTCCTGGCATTTGACTTTCAGTCTTTCTGTCTTTTCCAGTCTTTCCAAATGGGAGCTGTTCTTGTCTTTGGTGGATCCTGTTACTTCTCTGCATGCTGACTTTCTTAAAACAGGGTTTTGCTGAGTTGAAATGGCCTTGAACTCCTGACCTCTGGCCTCGGTCTCCTGAGCAGCTGGGATCACAGGTGGCCCTGAGGTGCCCAGGATGGCCAGCCTTGGCAATACAGATCCTCACACACAACGGCCCTTGGTGTCTTCGTGTGCTTGTGTGGCTATGTGAGGGCTGTACTCAGTGTGTGTCACAGTTACACTCCGTGTCCTGACTCAGCCCTGCCCTGGCTGGTGTGGCTTCTGTGGATTTGCGATTCTAAACATCAACAACCACCGCGATCACCCCAAATCCTAAGTCCTGGGTATGATGACATAAAAACAGATAAAAGTAAATCATGAAATGGCAGGGAGAAACACATAAAAAGAAGGGTCCCAGCATGGGGCGTCCGTCCACAGGGTGTCTCCATAACACCTGTTTAATTTTCGAAAAACGCACAAGAAACACATACCTTAGAAGGTGAAGTTTCTTGCTTTGGTGGAACCTGTTTAATGATACTGTGGAGATTACCCCCAGGCCAAGTTTCCCAGGGATGGAGGCCTGCACAGATACCATGTACAAGCTGGACGCACAGGAGGCCAGGAGAAAGCCGGTGCAGGCTGGGCAGCGCCCACCGCGTGCTTACCTGGACCGCAGCTCCGGGTCCCCCGCGGAGTGGCTTGGGGAGGGTGACTGCTGAAGGCAGGGGCTGTGGGTTTGCTTTGGGGACCTTGGCACATCGGTGAAGCCGGAGCCGCGCCCAGAGAATGAGAAGGGTGAGCTCTCAACCGTCAGGGTCGCGTCTTGGGCTGGCCGGGCGGCGCTCGGCTCCTGGCCCCGTCTTTGGTTCGCCAGGTCGAGGGGGGCCTCCTCGTCTGAGGTGTCCCTCCCGTGGACACAGGTCCTGAGCCCCGCGATGTCCGGCCTGGAGTAGGCAGAGCTCGAGACTTTGCTGGACTCCTCTTGCTGGTCGGCTTGCCCGCCCTGTTTCTCGGCAGCGTCGGGGTCCTTCCTGGACTTGGGGTACCGGGACAGGTACTCGGAGTCCTCTCCGGGGTCCGGAGTGAGCCCGTATTTCTCCGCCAGCTGCCGTCTCCTCTCCGCTTTGTACCTTGCAATCCTCTCGGCTTTGGACCCCTGGCCGCGGGGGTCACCATGGATGCCTGAGGTTTCCGTGCTGTACTTAGATCGAGTTTGCTTTTCTAAAGAAGAGCCGGGACTTTCTTCCTCTTCGTTTGATCGCCCTGCAAGAAGACCACAGGATAATGCAGAGTCGCGGCGGCAGCCCTCGCCACATCCACGCCCGTGACGACCTAATGGGTCTACGGGGACTCCGGGCCAGCTCGGGTCAGCAGGGCCGGGGTGAAGGCTGGAGTCCCCGGAGCTGTGTGGGGCCCAGCCCTGGCAGCCCAGAGGGCCTCCTTCCTTGCTATCGGCCTATTTCCCCTTATTTCTTTTCTTTTTTTTGCTCTTGTTTTATACAAGTCAGAGTCTGCTAGAAAGGACGGATCCTACAACTTGCAACTTGCAAAGTGATCTGTCCTGGTTTGCAGTTCTACAGAAGCTGATGTTTTATATACACGTATGTATACATATGCATACGTGGCTTCTAATTGCAGTACACACACATGATGTAAACATGTCTAGCATGAAAACACACAACGCCAAACCACCAGTCATCACAAATACACTAGAAATGTGACAGCTTTATATATTCCCCCTACTCCTCTTGGTCTTTTGTATAGTTCATTTTTTCTTTTTTCTATATGAAATGTTTAATGTTATTAACATTTTATGTAAAATATTTTCTTATATTTGGAAATCTTATTTTGAAGGTAACATTTTTAAGCATCACAATATTCTATCCAACACGTTTTCCACAATTAATGTAACCCTTGCTATAATGTGAGGGGTGGGTCTTTCTGTCAGTGTGATTTTCTTATTTTATCACAGTAGACACACACAAGCTGAATTGGTTTGTCAGGGGTATATCATTCAAGGATGTTTCCTCACAGGTGCCAAGTGATCATTTGTTTGAAAATTTGCCTGTGATCATGAGGGAAAAAAAAGAATATATGCATTTTCTCACTTATTTTATTGGACATTTTTCCTAGGAAATGTCTGCTGGAGCTTACTGCCCTATGTAATACTGATTCACAGTGCTGTTTTTATCAGCTCACATAAACTTTTATGGGGATATTAGCCCTCAGTTGTCCTCATGAGTATTTCTGGACTTGCTTGTTACTTAATTTTGCCCTGACATCTATGTGTTTGTGAGGCATCCTCTATGGGGCAGACGTAATGCCCACTGACCCGATCATCTGGGGATTTCCTCAACCGTTTCTGTGCTGTGAAAGCCCCTTCCCATTCTGTGTCATATTTCCAACATTTTCTTTACAGCACTCGCACGAATAACTGGTCTTCTCTTTGGTTCAGGCATGGAGTGGACAGAGGACCGAGTTACCCCCATCCTTCCTCGGCTGATGCATTTCCCTGGTACTGTTATCAGGCAGTTCCTCTTTTTCTCTCGGATATATCATTCTTAAATTATCATATGCTACACAGCTGCACATTTTGTATATCCCAGGGCTTGTTTCTGGCCATGGATTTTGATATTCTCATCTGACTGTTCTTGATTCTCCATTTACATTGTTAAACCTTAGCCCTGTAGGTTTCTGGTCACAGAAAATCAGAGACTGTAGTCAAGCAACAGATAGCAGTGTGACGCGAAACCAAAAGTCCTGTTTGAGAAGAAAATCGGAAAACACTGGCTGTAAAGCAGCACTACAGTGCCTCAGAGCCAGAGATGGGTGGAAACATCAATCCTGACCGTGCCACCCTCCTGAGATCCGAGGCCACTGACTGCGTGCACAACCAGGAGAGGCGAGGTCCTGTGTGACGTGCTGTTTAATATGAAATCAATATACAATACATTTGAACTGTTTACACTGAAACAATGTAAACAGAACATGTTAGCATATAAACAGAGTGAGAGCCTCATTCACGGCAGGTCTGGCTTTGCCTTTGACTCTCCTGCTGCTGGGCATTAGGCTGAAACCTGCTATAGCCGCCGTGGGGCACCTGTCTCCATCCTTTTACCAAACAGCCCTGCCTCAGGGTCTCCGGCAGCAGAGGCTGAGCTCAGAGACAGGCACAAAGCCTGCCTGAGGGGACCCCGTCCGGGGGACACAGCTCTCCGCACCCAGTCCGCGTGGAGGCATTACTGCGTTTCTTACCACTGTGCGGTGGCGGCCACATCTGTGAAGCAGAGAGCAGCCGACGCGTGGCTGCTTCCCAAGCACAGTGATTAAAAGATTACGGACACACAATTTGCTTCAGAAACCTCATTTCCAACGCTAAGTTGAAGGGTGACACGTGAAAAGCGGTGAGGCGGCCGCGGGCTCACCGGCGCGCGTGTACCGGGGCGCGTCCTCCTCCAGCAGGCGGTGTGTCACCAGCCCCGTGCAGCTCTGCAGGAGGACCGGCTGGGCGTCATTCTCGATGCCTTCCAAGCGCCGGGCAATTCTTTCTTTTCTGTGCGACAGATACGTCGAGAGAGGGCACAGTGAGCCTTGGAAATCAAAGTGAAGGGAAGGCAGAACAGGACGGGGCTTTGCCGAACTTCCAGCTACCCGCTAGCAACAGCTTACCTTTTCATTTCTAAAAGCTCTTTTTTCTTTGGTTCAAAGATTTCTCTTAATTCTGCAACTGAAAAAAAGAGCAAAACAAAGCGTAACAGTTAGTAGTCATGTCCTCATTCATTCATGCAACACAGGTTTGTTGAACTCACAATTCTTTCTTCTTCCACGCAAAAATGTGCAACACACCGAGCTGTTTCTTGGAGTTTGTTTTCTACCAGGGAGGCAGATGCCTGTGAGCAGGTGTGTGCACCCACAGCCCCCCACACACACCCACACACACCCATCACGTGCTGAGCTAAGAAGTGAACTCAGACAGGCTAAGGGAACGGTCCTGTGTCACCCTGGGGCGTCAGTGCAGCCTGACTTGAAAGTTCTCTCCAGAGAGGCCTTTTCAGCAGAAATCTCAGTATCTATCCACTTTTAACATTTGCTATGTTGAGCAGAGTATTCCAAGAGTTTACTCTAGCAGGCGTTTACAAACCCAGAGACTGGGACTATGGAGCCCACAGGCCGCCGTGAACTCACGTGTCACCTCTCACCGAGCCTGTGAATATCTGTCACAGCTGTGTTTCCAAGACACACGTGAGTGGCAAATCTTGTTTAACTGAGCTCCAAACTTCCCCTCACAGACTTTCACTGCAAGGACAGGCTGCTGTTTGTTTCCTTGCTGTAGTTTTGGTGAATGGAGGACCTAGCTGGACATGACAGCTCCATTTTTCTGGCAGCACTGGAGATCCAGAGAAAAACGTTTTGCAGGGGCTGGGAGGTCCTCGTGTGAGATCGACTACAGTGATGCCTGACAAGGGCTCTTTTGGGAAGAGGCCTAAGGTGGCAGAGAGTAAAGGCCTCTCCTCCTGTGCCCAGGTCCTCTGTCTTCCGCCGGAGCCAGGAAGGGGCTGGCACAGAGGGCAGGAGCACGTGGCAGGACAGGCAGGGACATACTTCCAAAGGAGCGAGTCAGGAGGAGTGCGAGAGAGTGAAGACACAGAATTTAATTTTCTGCTGCTCAGATTGTTTTAAGTGGTCATTTTTAGTAGTGAGTCAAAACCACATGTTTTTATATGCTTTTTGTGTCCAGTACTACAATCCTTTCCCCTTTATTTTTAAATTTAAAAAAAACTTAAAATATTAAAGTTTTAATTGAACTGCCTTTTGTTAAGGTATCTGGCTTTTTTTTTTTTTTTTTTTTTTTAACCGCAGATCAAACTCAGGACCTTGTTTTTGTGAGACAGGTGGAAGAACGACTGAGCTGAATCCCCAGCTCTTTGCTGTATCTGAAATAGGAGAACCCAGGTACCCTCTTGCCTTCTGCTTTTGATTACAAGCTGATCACCCCAATCTCAAAATCCAAAAAGCTCCCAAATTCAAAACTTTTGGGGCACCAACTGACGCACAGGCAGGAGGATCACCAAGTTCAAGGCTGGCCTGGGAATCTAATAAGAGCCTGTCTCAAAACACATCTGTAATCCCAGTACTCTGGGAGGCTGAGACGAGACTGCAAGTTCCAGCCCAGCCTGGGAAACTAACTTAGTGACTCAGAGAGACCTTGTCTCAAAATTGTTAGAAAAGGAGCTGGATGTACCTCAGCATGAAGGCCCTGGGTTCAATCCCCAGAACTGGAACAAAACTTTACAAAGGCTGGGAATGTCCTCAGTGGCAGAGCCCAGGAAGGACGATGCTCTGCCTCCAGTGGTAGAAACCCTGCTCCCTGGCGTCAGAAGCTCTGCGTTCACCCTGTCCCCAAGACAGGGTGGCTGCGGGCAGAGAGGTGTGCCTGCGGGTTTGGCCACCTTCCTCTTAGAGGGCACAGGCACAGAGATGACGACGACCGAGGCAGGCTACGGACAGCTTCCCTGACAACAAAGTCAGCGATCAAACTTGAATGGTAAGTAGCACTTGTTTTACAGTGTTTTCAGTACTGACATGTGCCAAGGGGTTTTGCTTAATTATTTAAGCCCCAAGGAGGAGAATGGAACTGTCTTCTTCCTAAGACTGTTCCAGAAGTCTGACTCCAAAAGGTACACCTTCAACCCTTGCCTCGGACTCCTGAGACTAGAGTAGTATAAATAGGGCCCCAAATAGCATAATGATAGTTAATTTTCCCCCAAATTACTTCAACTGGGTACATATAAAAGCATAGAAACACAGAACGTCACGTTATTCCATCAGTGGAAAAAGTTAGATACTCTTTTTGCGTTCTAATTAGAGACTGTTGAAAATTGCTTTCCCTTCACTTTTATTTTTAGATTTTCCACTGAAATTTACAAGTGAAGATATTTTTGAAAAGACTCCAGCGATATGTTTAAAGGCTGAGTGACAATTTGCTTCCTGCCATTCTTCATTTCCCGTATTCTAGAAGGAAAGATCAACTAAAAATAACACCCTTGTAAACAGCTTTTGAAAACTTATGGGAAACGCTGTGTTTGGAAGTAGAAGCATTAGACTACCTCTGAACAGTAAAACGAACCAACAACAACAACAACAACAAAACCCACTGGGAGACCCTCACCACAGCAAAGCTCTGCTCTCCGATGATAAGTTGTCCTTGGCAGGGTGACTTTTGCTTCCCCTCTCTTTGCTGGTATAAATCCTGAAACACTTACCTAAGTGATTAAGATGCTACCTGCCAAACAGTCTTTCTGTACAGTGACAGAACCCAGAACATCTAGGCAGCTCAGGTGGCCCTGGAAACATGAAGTGCCTCTTCACTTCCCGGTTCTGGCTGTGCACCGATTAACACAAAGCGTGTTTAACTTGCAACAGTGTAAAGTGTTTGTAACTAGTCAAAGAGGAGGTCAAGGCCAATCGTGATGTTTAGCCAGAGGAAAAGAACAAAACTAAGTGAGTACAGTGCTGGTCAGAGAAGGAAGACCTTGCCCAGCATGCAGGCTTCCTGCCTTCTGTCCGCTAAGGACTTTAACTATCACACTTGGACAACAGCCACTAAAACACAGGCAGCTAATAACATAAGTAATTACAATTAGAGGAATAAGGGGAAATGGCTGAAGGGGAGGGGGGTTCTTTATGAGTAATGAAAATTGAGCGTGGAGAGGGATGTATAACTCTGTGAATGTACAAAAAGCCATGACTTGTAGACTTCCGCTCGTTGAACTGTACGGTGTATCATAGCTAAGCTGGTTAAAGGAAGTAACACCTTTGGCTCATTTCATGAAGCCAGGTGGGCTTCAAATGCCTGGGCTTCAGAGACCCTCCTGCCTCAGCCTCCCAATTAGATGGGATGACAGGTGCAAGTCCCTGCCCCCAGCCCAGAACACTCAAAACCTGAGTGGAAAAATCTACCTGAATGTTATAAACTCTACATAGGCAAAGATGTTTAACTACTTGATTTGTTCACGATACACAGTGATGGGATGTCTCCAAGAAAAAAGAATGACTACTGCAATGTTCTGTGTCACAGGCGTGGTCCCTCGCTACGTGTACAGGAAGGAGCTTCCGCACACTGAGAAACAGAAAACTGTGGCAGTGAAACAACACTACCGTCAGTTCCTTTTTAAGCTCCTTGTGGCTACTCCTTGATAGACAAAATCACACAGGAATCTGCCAGGATGGAGAACCAGAGACTGCTGATAACAGTTGGTTGTTTCCAGATGTGTTTACACAGCCACAGAGAGCAAAGACTACATGACTACAAGGCTGTGGAAACTGCGACTGGGGTCAGAAGATGGGCACGAGCACTTTCCCAACAGACTGTCAAGATTTAAAGCCTTGATGGTGTGGTGGCACAATCCTATAAGCCCAACATTCTGGGAGGCTGAGGCAGGAGGGTCACAGGTTAAAACCCAGGCTGGGAAACTTGGTGACTTGGCGAGACCCTGTCTCAAGGTTAGGGAGTGCTGGGAATGCAGCTCAGTGAGAAGGTCCTGGATTCAATCTGGTTAATACACAAAATCAGCATTGTTTTGTTTGTGCAGATTCTATTTTTATAATCAATTATGATAAATTTTACATTAAATCTGGTTAATAAACTTTTGTCTTTTAAATTTTTTTATATATGAAGTTGCAATACAATGAGTCTTAAGGAACCCAACATCTCATTTTTTAAAAACTTTTTCTAAATGTGATATTTTCTATGGCTTGCTTTCTTTTCTTTCTTTCTTTCTTCTTTCTTTCTCTTTCTTTCAGAATGGGTAGAGAAGAGGGCAGTGGGACGCTTTTTCTATATACAACTGTACCTAATCAGACAGCTCTCTCAGCTACGGCTGAAATCAGTTTGTCCACCTACACACCCTGCTGTGATCAGCTGTAGACTTTAAACACTGAAGTCTGGCTCGGGTGAAACTGGGCTTCTGTCCACCTCAGAGCCCGGAAGGATCAGAAGGACCATTCCCTTGCACACCTGCTCCACACAGGCCAGCATCCATCCCACCCTGAGCACACTTTGGCCACACGCCTGCCCCTCCACACTTAGCAAGAAGGCCTGGTGAGACCACAGTGCGGTCCGTTTCCTTTGCGGGTACAGGAGTCCCTCTTTATCTGTGGTTTTGCTTTCCCTGGTTTCAGTTACCTCCAGCCAACTCTGTTCTGAAAACATTACTATTTGACTCAATTCTATTAGAAGAGAAAGAAAAAGAGACCACATTCACGTAACTTTTATGAGTGTACTGTTAATACTGGTTCCATTTTATCATCAGTTGTTGTTAACCTCTTATTATGCCTAGTTTATAAATTAAAGCTCATCGCAGATAGCGTATGCACAGGGAAACACAGGACGCTCAGGGCACAGTGCTGCCTGGGTTTCGGGTACCCCTGGGGTCCCAGAGGCACTTCCTACAGAGAAGGGGGCCACTGCACCATGAGCTATCAGGATTTTGTTCTCAGAGGCCGAGGGTTCAAAGAACAAGAACAGAAGGACACCAAGCGAAGCCAGTACTCGGTGGGGCAGAAAGGGCCACAGAGACACTGCATGCTGCAGGTCACACGCACACGACCACTCTCAGCACGTGCCCAACACAGGTTTGTTGTGTGGAAAACGTCTTACCTTTTGGAAGCGCAGGTACAAGCTTAGCATCAAGTCCTCTTCTGTGGTTAGCAAGCTGTTCTTTATTCTCAAGCAAGAACTCTTTCTGAAAGCTACAAGTTATCCGTTAACCAAGTGTTAGACTCGATTTCAATCAAGGTACAGGGTAAAAGGGGGGGGCAGAAAATAAAAGTCATATCATTGTTTCCCAGAGTTAAATATGTGCTTGTATATAGCGAGTGAACAGTTGTATTTGGTAAAGTGTGTTAGTAACTGTCCGGTTACTGTGCACGACTGTGATTTTTGTGCAGTTGTAATACATCGGAGTGGCTGGCATGGCATGTCAGGGAATGGGGCTGGACCTAGGAGTCATATCTATCCAGAATGACAACCTCTCCGAGACCCCAGACTGCTGTGTATGCCTGGATTAATTTCTCAACCTCCCTGCACTACAGTTCTCAGCTTGTTGAAGTGATCAATATGTTGTCTTCTAGCACTAAAATTATATGAAAGTAGCAACGCCTTCAAAGAACCAAGACATCGAAGCACAGCCAGACAGTGTGAAAGGCCCATGAAGACTGACCTCGGAATAAAGGGGGAAATGGAAAGGAGAGCAATCAAGGGATCGGACACTTCCTGCGTCCTGCTGTGCATCTGCGCTCCCTCCTTGCCACGGTATGGATTCGGGTCCCCAGAGGCCCATGAGGCTCAGTCCCCAGGGTGGCACTGGAGGAGGGGCTGTGGGCTCCAGGACGGAGGCCCTCAGGTGATTGGGGGACCCTTGCCCCTCTCCAGAGATGTGACCTCTGCTCGACGCATGATCCTGCCAGGATGCTTGGTCCTCACCCCAGGCCCAGAGCAACGGGGCTGTACTCGAATCTGCAGGACTGTGAGCAGAATAAGCCTCTCCTTGCCTCTCACATGCTGGTGTTGTGCATTCCGTTGCAGTGACGTGAAGCTGGCTAATACAGCCCTGCACCTGTCCCTTGGTGTGTGCGCGTGCGTGCGTGTGCACGTGCGTGTGTGCAGAGGGCAGTGTTGTACTTCCCTGGAGTCCCAAAAGAGACAGAAAGTTGCTGTCCCACTATCTGAGTGGGTCACAGGACTAGCCCACACCCCAAACACGAATTAAATCTGAAGCAACAGCCACACATCTCAAAACGTTGTACACGACCCTCCCGCGGTAGAACCAAGCCCACCTGAAAGTTTAGCAACCATACGTCAGTGCAGGGAAGCTTATATTCGTGAACATGTACTGTGCAATTTATGACAGTACTGAGAATAATTAAACCCTGGGAAGCGAGCGCTAGATTGGCTTGAAGATCCTGGATAATTGTGCACTCGGAAACTTAAGCCGAAGCCCCAGCATCTCCTCAGTGAAGAACGCAGTGAGAGCGGCTGTGTACTTCACTCGGATGCAGAACTGCAGAAGTGCAGCCCACTGAAGGGATGGCATGTTATTTTTAATCGCACATTTAACTGCTAAATGTGATATTTTGATACAGTGCTGTGCGGAATCAAACCCAGGCCTCTCTCATGCTGTGCACGTGCTGTGCCACCAAGTTACCCCCCAACCCGAGGAACATCAATAAATATGTTAAATGAACGAGGGGCCGCTATGAAATATCCCAAATGTGGACTATAATTTGCCCAAAGCATTGTATGTATATGCTGTATGCACTGCTAATATGATAGCCAGGGGCAAAAACTCATCAGAAACGTTGAGAATAAATAACTGGACGGGCTTGTATTCCGTACATCAGTTGCAGCCAGCCTGCCCTTCCTTCTGTTCCCTGCCTTCCGAATAACATATAATCGCTATCCTCGCACACACGCAGGAAATACTAGCATGTCTGCATACAGGTACAGAGAAATCTCTATCAGAGCCCGCAGCCTCGCTCGGACAAGCTGGACTCCACTCCACACGGCTGTCGACATTCTGCTCTGTGCCTCAGCCGCTGTCCCTCGCGGCTGCCAGAGGCTGACAGCTTCTGAGGAAGCAGATGGGCAGACAGGAAGGATGCGGACCGGGCCGGAGCCTGTGCTCTGCCGCAAGGGGGTCCCCAAAGCGGGATTAATGCAGGACCCCAGACTCCACACAAGACACGGGGTTCTTAGCCAGAATCGCATCTGCCCCGGACTTTCTACACACAAGGGCACTGAGCAGCAGTGGAAATACAGGCAGTACATGCGGTAAGGAATTCTGGACGAGTCACCAAGGAGGAGGGAGCTCCGGTGTCATCTCTGGGGGATGAGGCCCTCCCCCCTCCCGAGGCATCAGAGTGCAGGGTGGAGCTGCAAACCCCACAGCCTTGAGCTCCCCTGTCCCCACTTCCGTCTGGGGACAAGGATCCCTGAAAGGACAACCCCTACAGGCCTTGCTGTGTCCTGCAGCTCAGCTGAAAGTTATGAGCCTGCATTCCCACATGAAACTGTATCTCCCCTCATAACTAATTAACACAGATTCCTTTTTGTACCACGATTTAAAAATTAATGTTAAGAAACACTTGGTACTTTTATCCACCTACACCTTTGAAATGGCACTCATTCTTCATCTTCCTTCCTCTGCTTCAATCATCTGAAAAGACCTTGCCTTCACTCCAGGTGCTTTCTTTTTTCTTTTCAATGTGTCCTACTAACCTATTTAAATGCCGAGAAGGAGCAACAAAGGGGAACTTCATTACGGGAGCGCAGCATACTCTGCTGTTATCGTCCGTCCTCCACAGCCTGGAAGACCGTATCACTGCAGTTTCCAGGCACCCACGCAGTGGAAGGCTCCGTGTTCACTCGCTGCTGAAGTGTAAACTGTAAGATGAGGGAGGTGAGATCCAGTACCTCGCACTCCGTGTCTCCATGCTGGGTCTGGAGGATTAGAGGCAGGCTCTTGCACCTCGTACACACTGTGCACTTAGTAATGCGCCCAGCAGGCTGTGGCCTGGACAGGTCCACAAGACATAACAGCCGCATTGTAGGACTGGTGTGCTCCTCTGAGTCTCTACTGTCCATAGAACTGTCACTCTTTGCATTTTGTGCTTTTCCTGCTCTTAAATATGCAATACTTTCCTGATCCCCTTTTCTTTTACTTAGGCACTCATTAGCTCTACTACTATTATGACAACCTGCTAGGGACGTATTAGGAAATAAGCCCCAGGTTCTGTTAAAGACACACCAAAGATGTGATGTGCGGCTGCATAAAGCACCACATTCACGGATGCATCCTGCTGTCATGACAACCATACTGTTCACCCGGGTCGTTCCTACTCTAATCTGCCCTATGTTCACCTGTGCATGAAACACACCACGGATTTGTCCCATCTAGTGTGTTCCTAAGATGAGTGCCCCAGTTTTTAAGTGTAGAGCTATGCTCTGCCTGAACAAGACAGGAGCCAGACAACTGCTTACTATGATTCAGAGGAAACGCAAGCCCTTTCAGCAAAGTGACAGTGTCAGGGCACATTAGGGACAAGAAGCCCTGTGTGGAGTGAAGGGAAGGTCAGGGGCTGCATCCTCCCTCGAAGTTTTAGGTTGAGATCCATGCCTGAGTGTACAGGGGTGGCTGTGACTCCCCTGGAAAACACCCAGCTGTGACCATGACAGAGACCCTCCTGAAGCGCCTTCCAGCACATGCTTCCTGGTGGGCACCGTCTTACACCAATGATGATACACCAGGCAGCCCGAGCGCCATGCTGTCACATAGCCAAGGGCACTAGGAGCCAGACAGGTGGGGAGAGAGAGATGCTGAGGCCAGGAAACAAGAGCTGACAGGGACAGATGGGTGGACACAGATAGGAGGGCCGGAAAGAAGGACTTCCCATGAATGGCATTAGCGACCAAGACAATCTTTATGTCCACTTGCGTCATACTTATAGAACAGTAACGCATGCAAACAGGAAGGGGAGAGAGCAAACGGAACTGACAGGGACAGATGGGTGGACACAGACAGGAGGGCCGGAAAGGACTTCCCATGAATGGCATTAGCGACCAAGACAATCTTTACGTCCACTTGCGTCATACTTATAGAACAGTAACGCATGCAAACAGGAAGGGGAGAGAGCAAACGGAAGGCCTCAGGCTTGCTAGGCAGCTACAATAAGTACGATTGAGCTCTGTCTCTAGCTGATGCTTTACACAGTTCAGCGACTAACTCTGGGGAGAAAACATATTGCCAAACACTTAAACTCATGAATTAGGAATCCAAGGGACTGTGGCTGTGGGTGTGGCTTGGGGGAAAAGCATGTGCCCAGCACGGGCAAGGCCCGGGGTTTGATCCTCAGCACTGCACAGGGGAAAAAGAAATTTGGAGGAATCATTTAAAAACCTACTACACATCTCTACAATTTAATATTCCTTAAACAAAGGCTACTGTACCTTGGAACTTTTCTTTGATGTGGGAATCCAATGAAATGTAAGTTTTTCTTGTTGAAATCTAAGAGAAAAAAAAAATGTAACATTGAAATAGTTACCCAGTAACATGAAAAAAAACTCCAATGGGAAAACATTTTCAAAGTCCCCTTGAAGGCAAAATTTAAGAAAAAAGAAAACCATTAACTCGACAAGACACAAGAATGCAAAAATGACAGTTTCAAAGCATTAAATTCCATGTATAAGTTTTACATAGGCAAATGTTTTGCTTGTTTTTCTCTGCTGAAGAAAAACTGTCCACATATTTCATAGGTTCAAAAACATTCTGACATAGTTCAGTGCTATCATTTAAATTTCTTATGGTTATAAGAGTAACTAGCAGCAATTAAATGCTAGACAACACGGCTACATACTTCCGAAAAAAAAGAAGAAAATAAGAAACTTTGGTCTGGGTAAACAGAAATAGTGAAAATAATCTACCTGATAGGATGGGAGAGCACCTTAAAATTGGGGTGGGGCGCAAGATGCATCCCCTGAACTTTTACCGCGTTCATTAAAATCTAAACAGCAGCACATCGATAGTCACCCTTTATTTTCAAAGAGAAGATATATTATGTAAAGACAGCTGATAACAATTCCACACAGGAAACACACACCCCGAGTGAATGGGTTAATCAAAACCAGGCAGAGACGGAATTTATAACCAGTCTAATGCAAGTAATCTGTTTTACAGCCTTTGGCATAGCAACCATTTGTCAGTCCTGAAAACCACAAACAGACCTCTTCTTCGCCTGAGGAAGTACCTTTTACTGTTTAATATCTGGGGGCAGAAGACTGAGGAATAAGAGGAATAAAATATACCAGATGCTGGTGTTCAGTCCCCATCACCGAAATATATCCCAAATCCTGAGATTTGGAAATTTTGACCAGCTAGAGAAACACAATCAAACAAAAAGTATAATGCCAATCAAACTTCTAGGGTTTTCTTCTAATTATACAAGCATCCCATTAACTATTTAAAGGAAGAAAATTCAGTTCACAAAGCTACTGAATAGCGCAGAAGAAAATTCCTGCTCCAGAGGCTGGAGTTTTCAGGCCACTTTTGAATAATGCTGAGAAGGTGATACCACTTTAGTGACTAAATCAAAAGCATGTATCTTCCTCTGTGCTGGAAAGGAAGCCACTGAAAAGACAACATTTTGTTCCAAACTGTCTTGCATGAAGAAGAAAAAGAGACTCACTCACCACTGCCTAGGAGGTATAATTTAGTACAGACAGCATTCAGTCTAGAAGGATGTTTTGGCTTTAATGCAGCACATCTAGAATTCGATCCAAAGTCAAGGCATTCCGATTTAATTTGCAATCTTTCTTATATAAAGACTTTAGTGGGTCAGCAGTGTCTCTAACTCACTCATAGAGAAATGCACATTTTCAGCACTCACAAGATAAACTCATTTATAGACTTAATTAGATATTTAATATACCTTGTTAGAAGACTATCACTAACCGGGCACCTGGAACAACGGAAAGTGAAGGACCCAAGGCAAATGTGCTACAAAACGAACACAGAACTGCATCTGGTATTTCTCTTGCCTTACCTTGTTTCTCGGAGAACTCGAAAGCTCCCAAATAGCTGGAAATTCCTGAGCTTCTGAACATAGTTGCACAAGATTTAGAAACAACTACAACTAATGCTCAACCAGCAATGACCTTGGTCCGGTCTAATCAGAATTGGGTTGAGACTGCTCACAGTGTGCGGGGAGAGCAGCCAGGCGCTCCTGTCCTTGAGCTCACAGAAAATGCAAAGGAAAAGGCTGCAGCCTGGAACAAATCAAACCCCTTAATCAGATTACAAGCAGAAATGAGGCCTGGAGATGCTGGGACAGACTTGACTCCAGAGATGGGACGGTTACGAGCTTGCCACTGCAGAGTCCTGGCCCTGCCATGTACGTGCTTTGGCTGTGTGGACAGTGTTACAACCTGACCACCACAGGGTGTCAGAAACAACTCCTCCTCTCCCTAAGAACAAACAAACAAATAAACACACAGAAGAAAAGCTTACAGAGGATCTCAGAAGAAGGTGGGGGCCCCCTACGTAGTCCCTGGCTGTGCCACACTTGGCTTTGGCTAAGTTAAATGAAATATTTTACCTAATGGTGAGCCAAACATTCATACTTTTAAGAGTTAAGATTTATAAACACCAGATGAGTGAAACAAACAGTGGGGAAAGAAAGGGCAGATATTACTAGAGGTTCAAAAATGTTAATGTGAGACAGAAGTTGTTAAGACTGTTCCATGTTTATGAGCAACTGCATCATGGACTCAGGCAGTGATAACACAGTTCGGAAGAGAACCACAATCAGAAACTGATGATTTCACAGCTGCAAGTACTGAGGAGAACCACGGCAAAGGGCTCAGTCAGAGATGAAGAGATTGGGCCGCGGAGGTTCCCTGACCCTGGGGACACAAATGGCTGGGGACACAGCTGCAGG